AAAAGCTTCGCATGGTTTCCGCACATGTGAAGTAGACAGGCAGCGTGTGAACCCTGTCCAACCGTCACAGTCAAGACAAAAGTTTTGACTCACCCGCAAGGCCGACCATGCCACTCAAGATCCTCGAACGTTGTGAGTGATGGCGCCGACCAATTAAAACTTCCTCATGATTATAAGCTTTTCAGTTTCAAGACAAAAGTTTTGACTCGCCGCAAGGCCGACCATGCCACTCAAGATCCTCGAACGCTGTGAGTGATGGCGCCGACCAGTCAAAAGTTCCCTCTTGATATAAGCATTTTAGCTCTTCACGGCAGAAGTTTTTACTCTGAGCCTCTGAAGACACTCCACCTATGATACTGAAGAATGTTGCAAGTTAAAGCGGCAACCATCGACTCACACGCAGGGGGGGCCATCTCACTTTGATCTGACGGCACGGTTGGAGCACGCTATGTGCCAAGGTTGGACGGCCCTGCCTCAATGAGCTCCACTGGAGTTTAAAAATGGATAGTAGCACCACCCTCCTCTCGCAAAGCGCGCGGCGTGGGCCGAAAACCATTCAGGTGGCTCAGCAAACCAAACGCCTCTGCTAGCTGACAGCACTTTAGACAAAGTGATCATTGAAAGAGCGGTGCACTTCGATGATGATTGCGCATACAGAGATGGGTCCAATGCACATTGCACACACACCTGGATGCGGAGTTGCGGCACGACCAGATCATCGCAGTGTTGGATCCCGCCCCGCGCTCACCGTAGCGCCGCTGAGCCTGGCCCGGTCTTGCATATTCTTCACATTCAATTCACAAGCCCCCGCTGTGAGACAGAGTGCGTAACAGTACGGTAAATGGATGTATGTCCTAAGTTGCATAATGCACTTGGAGGCGGCTCAGCCGAGTAGCTCAGCTCAGTGCCAATAGCCCTTGGCCTTAGTGAAGGCTCGCCGAATGGGGCAGCCCTTGTGGCTTTCAAAATTGCCGACTGTGCATAGCTTATGGGATTCGGAGCCAAACCGGGCGCTTTCCATGAGGTTCAGCCGAATCGCCGATCGACGGCGCTCATAAAAACCTTGGCCATCGGGCGGCTGAGAGAGTTGGGGGGAATTGGAGACTCGCGCCGCCCCGTGAAACTCACACTGCGCGCGCTGCGCACCTCAATTGACGTCAGCTGCAATCATGCACGACATCAGCATTTATGATCCACGCTTCATTCGCCAAATTGCGAGCAAAACGTGTGCCGAGCAACCTTGTCGAACTGGTTCTTGCCGTCCATGAACTGCCATCGACGGTCAATATCTTCTGAAGTTGCCCGGAAACAAAACTCGCGAATGTCGTAATCGGCCGTGCTCGACACACGCATGTACAGGCGCGGCACCCCTGTGCAGTACGCACAACACGGAATCGAGACCGCATGAAAGAGACAAGACTGGTACCTACCCAGTAGGTTTCGTTGTACAGTGTACAGTAGACTGGAATCTGGATCACCTAGGTAGGTACCGTGGCAGGCAGGTGTTACCTGTGAACCTGCCCAGTGCCATCAGCGTTCGACACGGAGTTTTTATTTTGTCGGCTGGGAGCCGACTGTTCTCCGTTCAGTCGGCTGGACCTGTGAACCGGTCGGCTTGTGTCAGCCAGACCCCTAAGATATGCCTCGATTTTTTTGTCGGCTTTTCGGCCGACGCCCCTCGGTTGAGTCGGCCGGGTGGCAATTCCGTCGGCTGACGTTTGCCTGGTGTGACGGCTCGTGTCGAACACTGAGTGCCATACCGATTCGCCACTTGGATTGGCCTGCAGCTGCAGCCACTACCACTGGCACCAGCAAGTTTTCCAGTTCATTTGCATTTGAGCTGAGCGCCACTGGTTTCAATCCGGCACTGCAAATCCTGGCGCAAAGAGGAGATAGTTGAGTCCCCCCTCGAATGCAGAGCAGGGGTGTCTAACAGGTAGCATTCCGGTATAGGTAATTGTTAGATTGCTACTACCCGGAGCAAACAATCGTAAATAGAAGGGAGTGCTTTCTCAGTTCTGTGCTTGCTGTTCTGTATCAAGACCATTCACCAGGATCCCAGCAGTACCATAAGTCAGGCCGACAGTGAGAGCTAGAGTCACATGAAAGGTGACCGCACCAGCTCATCACCATCGTTTGCAGTTGCAAAGAAGTTGGGTTTAGTTCAGAAACCTTGTCCTTTTTGTTAGCCACCTTGCGACCACCTGCCGTGCTGCATGATTTTGTTCGCACCCTGAATCAACAACATTCCCTTTCATCTTTGCACCACTGTAGTCAAACAATACAGAGTAAGGCACGCTTCAATTGGAAGGCGGAGTCTGATCAAAGTCAGAATGGAAAGCTCACGGGGCAATGCCGCTCGGCTCTTGATGGCCACAACCGCCATTGTCGCTCTCCTCGTTATCGGAGCAGCGATGTTTTCCTCGGGGAGCGAACTTTCTGAGCTTTCAGTCGCCCCACCCCGCCGCATGCTCGCTGCTGACGTTAGCGCCGCATCAGTAAATGCTGAAATCATCAGCTCACTGAACACGACCAACGTGCGGACCTACTACATCAGCATTGATGAGGTGGAGTGGGATTACGCCCCTGGTGACGGCGACCTGTGTTTTAACCGGCCCTACACAGATATGGAGCTTCCGTACGCGCGTCCAAGTAACACCAGCATTGGCAGCAAGTACACTAAAGCGCAGTTCAGGTAGGTGGATTCGTGCATGGGTTCACTTTTGATTGATGCATTCTGATTGCAAGACAGACTTCGCTTTGCCCCAGCTATTCGAACTCACAGCTCCGTGTCAAAGCATCACTACTTTACTTTGGGATCATTCTGGAGTTGGCTCGTTTCCACAGGACCTCTTGCAATGACCCGTGATCAACCAGCACTCAAATCTGGTCCCGTGACAAACAAGCTGCCTTTCCCTCCCAGTTTTATCCTCGAAGAGCAGGGCCTCCGTTTCGCGGCTCCAACTAGCACATCAGAGCCCTGCTTCGACCACAGATCCCCCTGTTTCTTTCCGCTCCCGCTGACAGCATTCCTCAAGTGCCCCTCTTTGCCCGCTCACAGATTCCCCCCAGATGCCCCAAAAGAATCTGCTCAATACACCCTTTTTGTCCCCAAAGGATGCTTTCATTGGGCCCCTGATGCTTTTTCTGTCTTCAGAATCTTCCTCTGCCAGCTCACCCCCCATCTCAGCCACCTCAAGGATTTCCTGAAGTCACCTTTTCTTTTTCCTTCCCAGGGCATACACTGATGCCACCTTCAGCCAGCTCTCCCCGGTGCTCCCCCAGTGGCAACACTTGGGCCTGCTCGGCCCTGTCCTCCATGCGCAAGAAGGCGACACAATCGTGGCCGTCGTCCGTAATGCCGCCCAGTTCGACTTCACCTTCCACATTGACGGCGCTGTCCTGTCCAACAACTCGACTCGTGTCGTTGGAGATATCCCTGGTTCTGTTGTGGCGAGCAAGTTGGTGCAGCCGGGGGCGCCGAATGCAACGACGCTGAGGGGGAATGTGGGGGGGGGTGCGGAGGCCATTGCACCAAACACGACGGCAGTGTCGGTGTGGCAAATCACGAGCAAGTCCGCTCCAGGTGAGGGCTCCTTCTTCCTTCCTTCTTTGTTCTTCTGCAAACAGGTTTCCAGAAGGGATCAAGTGCCTTGGAATGGGTCTAAATTCGTAAAGGAGTCATTTTCAAGCGAGGGTTCTTGGAAAGACAAACTCATTCTCAGAATGGCAAGCTGTCAAAAATTCTGATAATGATGAGGGGGTCTGAGACGAATCCACCACTTCGGTTGGTGTTAGGGTGCATATAGGGCAACAGCGGTCTCCTGCCAATCTTGAATTTCTTCCCAGCTTTATCACTTATCTTCAAATTGTCCATGTGTTAAAAGGTCAATCACTCGCTTCGAATAGTCCATGTACTCTTCCCGTGCCTCAACCCCTTGGAGATGAAAGCAAAGCAATTTCAACAGTTCAGGGGTTGCCCTAAGACAGTTTTACAACCCACTTTCATGTGAAGGCCCCAGAAGTCAGATGCTCCACACCCAACATATCAGAATACGAGCTCTTGAGGACCAGAAGGGGTGACTCTTGCCAAGTAGACCCCAAAGTCCACAAGTCCAACCATGTTTTGAATGACAGAAAATGTCATAAATGTAAAGCCACACTTCTTGTCTTGATCTACAAGCCCCACTGAATTCGCATTCCCATAACCTCATCTCAGGTCCTGGCGATGAGAGCTCCATTCTTTGGCTGTACCGCTCAACGCTCAACGGCCAACAGGACAATAACGCGGGTCTCTCAGGGCCGCTCATCGTAACCCGCAAGGGTCAAGCTAACCCAGACGGCACGCCGGCTGACGTGGACAGGGAGATTGTGGCGCTCTTCGAGGTCTTCGACGAGAATGTCAGCCCCTTCTTCGACGAGGCGCTTATCCCAGCGGTGAGAAATTGTGCACCAGCCTAAATGTAGGTTTTTGATGCTGCCTGGTTCTGGCTCTGTTTGCCTGCTTGATTTTGTAATTGGTCTTTTCAAGAAGTCTTTTTTGAGTTATCAAGAAGTTTAAGGCACCTGCTTAAATACCATAGTCAATGCACAATTCTGTCGACTGGAGGATCTCAGACACCAATGTCACTTTCAAATCCATCTCGTCCTCCACATTTCTGAGGGTCTACTTTCAGGCGCTCTGTCTCTGCCTTCCAAAGCGGCACCCAATCGAACAATCGACTTAGCTTCTGCTCGACAACTTGCCTCTGCACTATCCAAATTGCCTATTTGCTGCACATGTTTTTGAAAGTAATCTTCAAATCAAGCAACACCCCAAGGGTTTTGAACCTGGACTCAACAATAGTACTGCAACTTCACTGCCACTGTTTGCTGGTTTGCTTTTACGCGGAAGCTCAATTTTGACTTCCTGGGCAGATAGTTTTGCTGCAGCTTGAGTAGCATCTCGTTTAAGCCTGCGCTTTGCTAGTCGAGCTTCCAAAAGCACTCGTCAACTCGCAAATCACCGTAATCCGCTCACAAACAACAGCAAGAAGACGTGTCTGATATCGATTTGTGAATTCCTTCCAGGGCGTGAACCAAACCGACGAGGAGGCTATGGAGGCTTTCGCAGAGTCCAACCGCAAGTACGCCATCAATGGTTACACCTTCTGCAACAACGCTCCAACCATGGTCATGAACAGGGTTAGGCCCTAACCCAAACTTCTTCTCTTTAGTGCGATGACGCTCGTCAAAGCGTGGCTGAGTCAAGCCAGGCCCCGCGAGCAGTACGATTATCAGGGTTTTCTATGGCCTGCCTGACGTTCTCGGAATTCCCCACTTAGCATGAACTTGATGCACTAAAAGGCAATTGGGGAAAAGGAGCCGTCTGCTGCTGACGCCTGGTGTCAGCCAAGTCTTCTCATGCACTGATCCAATGAGTGCGAGATGCCGTCCGACTTGGTTAAATTTTTCGTGTCTTGAGAATCAGCCAACAGCATTTGGAGGGGGCTATCACCGAACGAGTCTAGTCACCGACCTACTGCAGATTCGGCTTCCCAAATGCCTTTTCACACTTGGCCCATCCTTGAATGTGAGCTCCAAACTTGTCACCTTGGCTGACTTTACTCGCGCTTTTTTCCGGCGACCAGGGCGAGCGCGTGCGGTGGTATCTGGTCGCCCTGGGCAACGAGGTGGACGTGCACGCGCCCCACTGGCACGGCAACACGGGGGCGGTGTCCAACAACACGCAAGTCATGGACCAGCTCAACCTGCTGCCCATCAACATCCAGACGTTCAACATGGTGAGGGTTCGAAGTGTAAATTGACTTGGTATCTTTGCCGTTCAAGGTTTTAAACGGGAGATGGGGGTTTTGAGTCGGTGGCAGATAAGAGGCAAGAAGTGGGCCCAATCAAACCTGCCCAGCTTCCCATTATTGAAGTTTCGGAATAACTGGCCGTTTCTTTGCCTCTGGAGTTTGGGGTTCCAGACGTTGCCCTTGCCGTTTCGAGTTTCTGGGTCCTGGGTTCTGCCTTTAGTAAAGTCCATTGGCTGATGGGATGTTTGTCATGGAGTTTAGAATCAACTCCAATGTCGATACGAATTGGGACCATCTGTATTCTAAGCAGCTCGAACACATCAAGGGTATGCGGAAGTGCTTCAGAATGGATTCGCTACCTGGACATATAGTTCCACGATTACCTCCAGCAGAATGTCTATCCCTCAACATTAGCTGGTACATGTTGCTTTTGCTGACTGCCCGACACGTGTCCGCCATCCAGGTGCCTGACGCCACGGGCACGTGGATGTTCCACTGCCACGTCAACGAGCATTTGATGGCGGGGATGAGGACCCTCTACCGAGTCGACGGGTTGGATACCATTGAGGCCCCGGGAACTGTTCGCCGTTACTTTGTGCAGGTAAGACACTTTGCTTCTCAGAAGGACGACTTTCGCTCCTTGATCTGTTCATATTAAATTCTTTTCTTCTTTGTCGAGAGTTGGGTTCTGTTGCGTTTGCCTTGATTCTGATCGTATACAGTTTTGTTCCTTCTCTGTCGAAGGTTGGATTCTGCAGCCTTCATTCAGCCTCAGAAGCGGGCCTTGATGACAAACGTCCAATAATGAAAGTGGTTTGTTTGTCGCATTCGAAGGGCTCTGGTCATTGGAACCTTTCCCAACCGCTTTGGCGAGCCAGTGAGCTCTTCAGCAATTTTGGCGCCTCCTTTGAGAGGTCTCCAGCGCACACTACAGGAAGCCCCTGATTACGAGCCCTCAGAATCTTGCTCCCTTTCAGAACCTGTCTTGCAGAACGATTAGCTACTCCGAGCCTCGCCCGATGGCAGACCCAGCGCCGCCGTAACGCCAAACGTGCAACCTCACTTTGCGTTACGCTTGCACTTTCGCAGATCGAAGAGGTGCTGTGGGACTTCGCCCCGTCCGGCCAGAACCTCTGCTTCGACGACACGCCCGGCGCCAACGTAACGCTCGACCGCGGAACTGACCTTACGGACGACGAAGCGCTTTTCGTTATCCCGAATCCGGACATCCCGTCCATCGGAAGCGTGTATAGAAAGGCGCGTTACATTGAGTACACGGACGCCACGTTCCGGACGGTGGTAACGCGCCCCGAGACGGAGTCGCTCGGGATCCTGGGGCCGATCTTCAGAGCGGAGGTGAAAGCGTTTTTGAAATTTCTCTACGGATGAGTGGATGGTTCGATGGCCAATGAACAAATCTTTGCTTTTTCAGATCAGCTATAATTGTCGAACTGTAAGTAAAGGAAAGCTGAGGAGGGAGCGGTGTAGAAATGTGTCTTTTCAGTTAGAGTTGGCCATAACTTCGGTACTGCGCTTTGCAGGCTTGCTGAGTTTTTTGAGTCAGCAAGTGGCCTGCGACCGGGTCGAAATAAAATAGTTCTAACTTTTGTAGGCTGCAAATCGGATCCAGCCTAGCAAGACGAATGGGCGCAAGGCAGCCTCCCAGAGAGTCTTCTCAGATTTGCAACCGTTCGGCTACATGTAAGCGTGCACCAACAGAAGAAGACAGATTGAAATTGGACACTGGCTCTTCTTAGGAAACCTCTGATGATTAGTACACCTCGCAACTTCTGTTCCTTGTCAACCTCGTAACCTTATGCAACCATTCAAAATTTGGCGCGCAGGTGGGCAACACCATCGAAATCGTGGTGCGCAACCAGGCCCAGTTCGCTTTCAGCATGCACCCGCACGGCGTTTTCTACAACAAGTCCTCCGAAGGCGCAAGCTACGCCGACAACTCGACACTTAACGACGGCGGCCACGGCTTCATCGCCCCGGGGGAGCAGTACACCTACCGGGTAAGTGGGGCCACGTGGCAAGCCTTCCGCGCTTTCTATCGAGGTGCCCGTATTTTGAGATCTGCGGGCGAACCTTGCCGGACATCTTAGGGGCAAGGTCGCCGTCTCCCTGTCTCAGACGAAAGTTGATCTGGAGACGAAAGGCGAAGCTTCTCTTTACACTTAAAGGCGCAAACCTTCTGATATGCGGTAGTATAAGGTAACGCGTCAACAAACCGATACTAACCTGCAACCGCCGCTTTTAGTTTGCAGCTTTAGAGGCTGCTTCTTTGCAGGCAACAGCTCAAAAGTTGAATCTTCTTCTGCTCTGAATGCCATCAGAAAGGTACTTCGTCGGCTCTCACTGTCTGATCAATCATAAGTCGATTGACAGTCTTTCTGTTTTTCCTTCCACAGTGGGCCGTCCCCGCGCGCGCGGGCCCCGCGCTCGGCGACCCGAGCTCCAAGGTGTGGCTGTACCACAGCCACGTGGACGAGGTGGGCGACACCAACGCGGGCCTCATCGGCGCGATCATCGTCACGCGCGCGGGCGCGGCCATAAGCCCCGCAAACCCCGCGCCCGCGGGCGTCGACCGCGAGTTCGTCGCGTTCTTCGGGATCCTGAACGAGCTGAGCAGCGTCTACGCGCTGAACAACACGATCGACCGGGCGCTGGGAGGAAACGCGTCGTCGGAGGCGGTGGACCAGCTCTTGAGTGTAAGCGGTTTTTGCTTCGTCCGTTCAACTTGTTTTGGATATCGGCGTGTCTTTTGGGACTGCTTGCCTCTAACTGCAAGAGCGACGGCGCTCGATCCGTCATTCTTGCAAAAAGCCGATTCTTTTTGTTTGGCGATCTTCTGGGCTTTGTTTGTTGCCCTGCCGATCATGATAGCGTCTTACACCAGGCGCTATTCTACCCATCCAGTTCTGTCTGTTCAACGGAGTCAGTTGATCCCCACGGAACATTCTTCCCAACCTTTTTTCCAACGGTGGATTAAACATAGCATCTTTTCGTGTGACGCAACATTCATGCCGTCGTCAGCTCACAGATATTCTACTGATTCAAATACAACGTCTCGTACCCCGCACTCGTGACACCGCATCTTCTCCCCCGCTAAACAGAACGACGACTACATCGAGAGCAACTTGAAGCACAGCATCAACGGTCGCCTCTACTGCAACCTGCGCGGGCTCACGATGCGCGTCGGCGAGCGCGTCCGGTGGCATCTCGTATCGCTCGGGTCCGTGCTGGACGTGCACGTGCCCTCCTGGGGGTCGCATACGCTATTGGCCCACAGCCAGAGGGTCGACTACACGCTCATGATGTCATCATCCATGACGACGCTCGACATGATCCCGGCCGAGGTGAGGGCGGCTGACGTAATCGTGACGAGAATGGAACACGTGTGCTGAAACCCGACAAGAAGCTGAAGTCTTGGTTGTTTCTGCTGCCTAGCGCCGAGCAGAAAGCTGGAACACGTAAGCCCCAAACAATATTATCAATCTTTGAAAAGGGTACGAATCACGATGAGGGAACGTCAGGTTGACAATGAGATACGTCAAAGTACTTCGTACATTTTCCTTTTTCGGAGTCAACTTTTGCAGATTGGACAATGTTTGGTGCTTAGACCTAGGACCTAGGCTTTCCGTTACTGCATGGTCGAATAGGATTCGTTAAAGCCTTCCCAACCCGTTGTAAGAGCATTTGATTGGCTCGCATAACAGCCACGTCAGATCGTGACAGCTGTCATCCGCGCGCGCAGATTCCTGGGGCGTTCAACTTCCAGTGCCACGTGGACGACCACTACCTCGCGGGCATGAAGGCCATGTTCCAGGTTAACGCGACTTCCGCTGGTCCGCTGACCGCCCAAGCGGACCCCACCGGAACGGTCCGCACGCACTATATTGCGGCACAACAGGTAGGCCGACTTGCGAGTTGCGACTTGCATTGGTGCCTCTTGTCTGAAACATTGGCGGTTTCTGCACATTTTATGCAATTAACAATCATCCGGACGTCCTAGCCGCATCTGCTCTTGGCACGATGAAGTTTCTAATCATTATCGAAAGTTGGGAAGCTTCGAGTGTTGAGGGTGCTAAGACTGCTGAGCTGGAATTGTTCCGGCTTGGGCATGCCGATCCAACGCTTCAGAGGCCGGTCTTATGCATCTCAGAAATGGGCTTCTTCTCGGTTTTGACTGAGTAATTTTAACGCAGGTAACTTGGGACTACGCCCCCCTTGGTGCGGACGGCAACTGCGGCGGCCTGCAATTTGGACAGGTTGCGGATGCGGACACGTGGCTCAACAACACTGGCCCAAACCAGATAGGACCAATCTACACGAAGGCTGCGTGAGTGCCACATTCAATTTGGGCAACACAAGAAGAAAGTTTTGGACGTGGTTTGCCTTTCTTCGAGTCACCCAGAGTCTTTTGAGAGACGGCAATCTTGCCATTCACGGCCAGACACTGCCGGATCTTATCAGGGGTACGTCTTTGTATGCTGTCGGTTGTACTTGGATGATCATCATTTCAGACTTCATCGTTTCAATACCCGCCACTTGACTTCAAAGCCTCTCTCGTATGAGCCTTCCTTTTAAGATCCGACGCTTGTTTGAAGCGTCCCTTCGCTCAAGACAACCACTACACTTGGGCAGCACAAACGTCTTTGCTTTGCATCTTTCGGCATGAGCGCTGCCCAGGACAGAGCGGAACGACGGAACGACTGATCGCATCTCCTTCTCCTACCAGTTACCTCGAGTACACAGACGCCACGTTCACAACGTTGCTCGCGGCCGCGCCCGACGAGGGCGGCCGCGCCCCCGGCCAGCGCGGCGAGCACCTGGGGCTGCTGGGGCCGCTCCTGCGCGCGCAAGTGGGCGACACCATCAAGGTGCGCGCGCTCAAAATCTGTCACTTGGCTTTCGGGAGCGTCGTTTCCGGCGGCCGGAGAGCGTTCCTCGCAGCCAGGAGTCGAATTTTTGCGAAACTTTTGACCCGTCTTGAGATGCCCTTTTCAAAAACTAAAGAACTAATCTCCGTGGCTTAAGTACTCGCTCTTCAATTTATTATGGGCGGCATCATAGGAATTGCTGTTCCAGAAAATTGGCGCAGCAACTGATTTGGGGCGAAATGCTAGAGCACGACAGATCGTGAGAATTTTAGAAAACAGACGCGCTTTGCGCACCCTCTCAAGAACGGGGCCTTGTTTCGCAGGTCGTCCTCAAGAACAAGCTCACGTTCCCGTTTTGCGCACCTACTCAATTAAGCGGGGCCTTGTTTCGCAGGTCGTGTTCAAGAACATGCTCACCAACATGACTGCCAACATGGTGCCCAGCGGCCTCAGCGCGGGCCTCCCGGGCTCGTCCGTCAACGGCTCAACTGAATTCTTGTCCGACAGCTCTCAGGCTGAGGTGAGTTTCATTAGCAGACCCGGAACTTGAAGCTTTCCCGAGCATAAAACTACGAGCCAAGTGAGACATATCCATTCAGATGTCCGACGATTCTGGCCTTGAACGATTGTCAATCCTGAGGGTTGCTCGACTCTCCAGAGTGCTAGGATTGCATCCAAATTCGTGGCGACAGCGAAACCCGATGGTTCGATCCAGCGTCGCCGAAAGTTGGGGGCTGACCTTGTTTCAAATGCTTGCGAAGAAGAGTTTCCTTTATGCATCGCGTCGAGTCGCTGGTGCTAATCAGGTTCTGTGCTTGGGTTGAAGTCTTCCTTTGTGCTTGGGTTGGAGTCTTCCTCTGCATGTTCATGCCCGTTTGCTCTTCTCCCTTAATCCCTGCCACAAACCCATCTACGCACCCAAAACCCTATCCTAACTCCTGACCTATCTTTGATAGGTGGCACCCAACGAGACGGTCACGTACGAATGGCCGGTTACCGCGAACATGGGCCCCGGCCCACTCGATGGGAGCTCCATCCTGTGGCACTACCAGTCCACGATCGACACCCCTACCGGAATTTACGCCGGCTTGATCGGCCCCATCATCATCACCGCTCGGGGGATGGCCCGGGGGGGCAACGTGACCGCGGATTTGGCCCCCCCCTTGATGCCCAAGGACGTGGACCGGGAGTTTGTGACGGTGTTTGGCGTTTTCAACGAGAACAAGAGCCCGTTCCTGGCGGAGAATCTGGTCCAGTTCGCGAACGTGAGCCGGGAAGAGGCCGACAGCGTGGCGCAAGACATGCAGGATAACGACGAGGAGAGCAACCTGAAGCACGGGATCAACTTCAGGTGAGGGCCGGCTTCTTCAGGAGCTTACCCTCAAACCCTAAAACCGTGAATATCTAGTTTCCTACCACGCCCTCTTTGCGTGATTGGCTGACGCGATTGCAACGCCATAAAAGGGTGATTCGCAGTGAATCTGACTTTTCTGAGTTGGCAAGTTCCCGCAAGAGGGCAGTTTGGCAGATCCCCTCATTCTCTTGGTGACCTCTTCTTGCCCCTGGGTTGTCTTCCGTGTACATTTCGTTTCCGCTTTGAAACGACGGCCTTCTGGCAATCTGCGCCGTCCCCGTCAAGGGCGAGCAGTTTCAAGTCTTACAAAGGCGCCTCCTACGCGTTCAGGGAACGATAGTGTACGCCTCCGCACAATTCCGTCTTAAGTACCAAGTGAACTCAAAGTAGTGTCATCGGTTCCCCCAGCTCAAACCTTTCCTCCTCCGCAGGTTCTTCTGCAACTTGCCCGGTCTGACCGCAACCCTAAACGACCGCGTCCGTTTCCACACTCTCGCAATTGGATCCGAGGCCGATCTGCACACGCCCAACTGGGGGGGTGGCATCTCCGTTCTGCGGCAGGGGGGGAAACGGACCATGAGCTTCGGACTGCTGTCCGGGATTGCGCAGTCTGCGGACACTGCTGCGGACGTCCGGGGGAGCTGGGTATATCACTGTGCGGTGCACGATCACCAGAACGCGGGGATGCAAGCGCTGTACGAAGTGGTTTAAGAGTCTGGTTAGAGGGTTTGTGAATCGCTCTGTAACGGGTCAAAGCCTCTCAAAGGCTTTTGCGATTCAGTCAGAGAATTCAATATTTTGGAGTTGTGGAGTTATACGATTCATTATTGGGAGAGCGGCTCCCGAAAGGTTCGAAGAACGATATGCAGCGGGCTCGGTATCGTATCATACACGCGTCGTCAAGCGCTCTTTATTCTCTGTGATACTAGAGGGCTGCAGCGGGAGCTTTTTGGACAGCATCCATTATGAGCTGCCCCTTGCGGCCCCCAGTTTTGAGTAATCAGCGCAGCGCTGCGGATTCTGGTAGAAGGATTGATGTAGGTGCCAGTTTGAGATGTCGGACAGAGATTCATGCAAGAAACGGACACACGGCGGCAAGCTTACTGAACAGATTATAGCTGGTAGCTCTTCGAGTCAGACATCAGACTTCCAATGTTGTGAGGAAAACTGTATGCATGCATGTTGTTTTATATGGAAGAACGTGACGTACATTATGTGCAGATATTGATCCACACTTGAGCGTTCCGACATCGACAATTGTATGAGGTCAGCGGCTGCTCTGCCGCAAGATCAAATCCCATAGACTTGAGAATGTATACTTCCGATGAAGAGTATGACACGGCCTCTGCACAATCTCAGTAGACTTGTTGCAGAGGCACTGCGGGCCTCGTGAGAGAAACGTACTAGACGATGATCTTATAGCCACGTGATGAAAAATGGGCCCCGGCCATGCATATGGCCCACCATTGAAACCCTTGATTAATAGGGCCGTATATATATCAGCAACTTTTATATGAATACCTATCTCAATCATGAGGCTCACTAGCTTCATGCAAATTTCGGATCGTCATGCTTTTGATTGCTCCGAAATTGGACTCGGCAGCTCGCGCCCCGACATGCCTCAGGCTGGCATTGAACCTCGATCAGCAAGGCCGTCACTCGCGCCAATGCTTAGCCGACCGGCCATATATAGGCTTACTAGATAATATACATACAAGTGCATCGATTCATACTAATAAGGCGCTCACATAAGCAGACATGTGATCTGGTTTGAACTTGTTGGTATAGCTAGCTATGAATGAAAGCTTGCTTCTGCTTTAGATTGGTCAATCCCGCTAGACTTGTTGCAATCAAATGATGCAACAAAGTTGTCAGATCACTAACAATCCAGGTTCGATAGCTCGATCTATTGATTGCAACACTAATCGGACCGGAATGACGTGGCCGCAACCGAACCCGGACACATGCTTACAAGTTTCGGCTCCGGCACTGAGAAAATCACCATGACTCTAAGTCAGTATCTATATGGCGGGACGTGGTGGAAACAAGTGCAAGATGCATCTACTCTAGGCGCCAATGTTCGGCTGGCCGTATCAAGCCTGTCACGGGCGCAGAAATCTCATGAGTTTAACCAACTAGTAGGTTCCTAGCAATCCTGGATAAAACATGCTGCGACGTAGTTTAGTGCAATTTATTGCAGACAACTTTTCGTTGGCAGTTGCCTTGAAGTCCCCGCACTTACTATGAAATTCAGAGATGTTATTGTAGTTGTCATGTCGGTGCTTCAAATACATGCTGCAGACGCAGGGAATCTTGCTCCAAGTGTTTGATAAGGTTCCGTGGGCTAAAAACGCTGATCTTCAAAGCTCACTTCTTTTGGGGCTAGCAATCAGAAGGTGCAGTACTGTAAATATGAACACATACCTTCAAGGGTCTGGAAAGATGGGTCTGTGAGAGACGCCATCGAAGTGACCATCAAAGTAATGACCCCGCTCTGTCCAACAACCAGCAACACACCGTTTTTCCGTTTGCACTGGCCCACTCTTACTGCAGCGTCGATCCGAGACGGCTGGTCAGGGCATGGCTATGATCCTGCATGGTTTTAGATCATATGGCTTAAGCGACCCAACAAGTGCATCAAGCAAAGTCCTCCAAGGGAAAACGAGTGGAGATTCCCCTCTATTATAAGGGACTGACAAGGAGCACAAAAGGACAGCTTTATCACAGTGTTGTCTGAGCTGCCTTTTCCTTGTTTCATGACACAGAAGCAGGTCTTCTTTGAGATTGGGGCTCCACAGGTTTGAGAGACACTTTTAGATGCCTAGCATCACCCCAATTCTTCTTTGTGGCTCCAATGCACTCGATTCTTCGCACTAGATATCATGGCGGTGGCCTAAGATACCTCATCGGCAAACTAAAAAACTCAACTGAGGATCCACAGTTTGACCTCAATGGTTCTCGCTTGATGCACATTGATTAGGCACAAAAGGCAGCTGCATCTAATGCACGTCTGTTGCGATGTCTGTGCGGTACGCTTTGGGGAAGGTTGCACAAGTATGTGCATTTGACCACTTCAATGCATCTGGAGACCAATGCAATATGAGCAACCCTCTTATTGCATGGTGTAATGTGTTGTCCTCTTCGCCTTGTTGACATCTGCCCTTTGCTACAGCGAATCGCCAGATCCTGCCCGCACAAAGTGGTATCCACAGAGGCCAGCATGATCAGAAACGGCAGCAGAGAGAAGAACTCAAATATCAAATTTCAGCTGCAATCACAGCTGCTGATATAACAACCAGGAATTAGCTATCCGCACATTCAAGAGGGGGCAGCTTGTAGAAACAAAGCCACTTTCAAGCATCTGTTCCAAGAAACTCACCCCATTTTTTCCTATTTCACGCGGACCCTCAATGGTGCTCATCCTTCTTCTTCGTAAACAGCCCTGCAGCTCCCTCCAACAAACAATACGCCCCGAAAGCCACCACAGCGATCCCCAGCCCCGGCATCGCCCTCCGATAGTTGCCAGTCAGCATGGGGTGCCTCCGCCAAGCGTCGTTGCCTGCCCATACTGTGGACTGCGCCGCCTGGATTTGCTTCTCCGGTGCCATCCTCTCAGCCGATGTCGGGGCGGATCGACAGAAGGCGTCTGATCGGAGTAGACTACAATTATCTCATGATCTACCAATCAGGTAGTACATGCAGCTTTTACCTGTCCAGCGGCTACCCTCAGCTTCTATGGCCCTTGGCCAATCCTTTTCCCCCTTCGCCTTAGGCTTTGCCTCTGATTCTTATTGAAATTCTGAGAAGGGCTTACAACTTCAAGGCAGTTCCCTGGGTAACGAACTAGATACGGCGCTTGGTGACAAGCAGGCCGCTAATGGCCAATCCAGAACGTAGTGTCAAAGCCGTGAACTTCGTCGGTTGAAATCCCGTCTGTTCGCGGCAAGAAGAATGGACCTCTCTGGGTATGCGCTCGCGGGCCAGCCGGCACCACGAAAGCAGCCCGTTCAACACCAGATTGGAGGGACGGTGAAGATGGGAATGGTTGACCTGAATATGCATACCTAGGCTCTAGCTGAGACGAGAACTGATAGTAATACAAGCCCATGCAAAAATGTCGGTGTGTTTCTTCCTAGCTCAGCAAAAGGCGCTGCTTTCTTCTTTCTGATTTGGCTAAGTTGAAGGGAATGCTCTGGTGTCGCTAAAATTTTCCAGCTGCGAGTAGGTCGACAGAGGCGAGGGCATCTGGTCTTCAAAATTTGAAAAAGCGTCAGTTGAGATGGCGTCTGAGGAGAGAAATGGAGGGGCCAATGTTGCGTCAGATGAGGACGTGCAATTCAATGCTCAGGGCAAGAAGAAGCAGAAGCACGACAAGCCTAAGCCGTGGGATCATGACGGGATAGACCATTGGCAGGTTGTCAAAATAGCGCCAGAGGATAATCCCAGCGGACTGCTGGAGGAGAGCTCGTTTGCTACGTTGTTCCCACAATACAGAGGTGCGACAGCATGATTCTCACGCTTCCAAACAATTATTTACTATCCTTTGAAAACCTGAGGGATTTTCAGGAATGCATATGCGTTTGCTGTGGGTTCAGTCTGTGGTTTGGGAGTGCTGGTGGCAATAAGTCACACCAATCAGTTCATTCAATGGTTATGCTGGAGGGTTTGAAATGGCTCAGCATAAGTTACCAACGGTGGTGCAGAAGGGTGTCCGTTTCTGCATCCTAGTCCTACACTGGCATCATTGAGTACAGTCTCTGTTTGTCGACATCTTTCAAGTCTGTGCTTCTGTTGGTTTCATATTTCTCCCTTTTGCCAAGAACTTTCTCCCTGAGCGGTGGTGCACGCTTCTTTATCGTCATTTGATTGTTATACTTCTTCTGATGCTGGAAGTTTGAAAACAAGTTTTTGAATCATACTGGATAGAAATCTGAGACCATCCGTATCTTCATCTGATTGTTGTACTTCTTGTGATGCCAAAAATTCAAAACAGGGTCTGGAATCACAATACGATAGGAATCAAGACCATCCGTACCATCATCTAATTCTTACACTTCTTTCGATGCTGAACATTACAACACAATTGTGCCGTGAAACCTCTTAGGAGTCTGATCCCTTGTCCTGCCTCAGAAAAGTACCTTCGGGAGGTCTGGCCCCTGGTAACCAAGGCGCTAAAGGAACACGGCATCGCGTGCGAGCTTAACCTGGTCGAGGGGTCAATGACTGTGTCGACCACGAGGAAAACGTTCGACCCATTCATCATCATCAAAGCCAGGGACCTCATCAAGCTGCTTTCTAGGAGTGTGCCGGCTGCGCAGGTGGGGCCCGCAGTACCGACAATCTGCTCATTTGCTCAATGTGCGGTTTTGCAGCATTTGGCAAGAGCAGGGGAGAATCGGCCCTGTGTTAAGATATATGCGCTGACCAATTTTGGTGACTTGATTGTTACATCATATTTGATGACGAATCCACCCGCAGGGCTTCAGCGTTGCCCTTCGGTGAGTTGGGAACACTGCAAGAGATTATATGACTGCACGTTTACAACAACGGAGTTGTGTGCGCATATTCTTTTTCCCTCGCCTTGACTAGATTCGATCAAGTCTCTGCTTTAGTTGCAACTTTTTCAATCGGTGCTTCCAGATCCCCTGCGGAAAGTTGCCCTGCTCAATTCTGCTCGCTTCTATTTTTGCAGGCGCTCAAGATTTTGGACGACGAGATGCAGTGCGACATCATCAAAATCGGAAACCTCATTCGTAACAAGGTTAGTGAAAGTGTTCTGACGTGCCTGGCAGTCTGTAAGGTTGTGCGTTTGTGTGCCTGGTTCCTGCTCGACTTCTTGAGATGTGCCGTTTTCTATTCATCAGCAGAACAATCCGCTCTTTGTGTCTTGCAAATGCATATCCAGCCCCTTTTTATTGGACGAAAGCCTGCGAACACGCCACATTCCCAGTCTGCTTTCATGTCAAGCATGGTGACCCTTCAGCCGTGTGCTTCTGCCTACTTGCGACATGTCTAAGCAGGATGTTTTTGCTTCCCAGGAGCGATTTGTGAAGCGACGGCAACGGTTGCTCGGCCCCAATGGATCCACTCTGAAGGCGCTGGAGCTCCTGACAGGATGCTACATTCTAGTACAGGTGGGTGGCAGGATCATCGTCCAGCGTGGAAGGTTTGCTGCGCGTTTGCTTTTCTTGAGTATGTTCAGGCTGCACGGTTGCTATGCAACCCTCAAGCGAGCTCGCTTGGCAGCTGGCATGAGGAGCGACTGCCGAGTCGCAGGCACTCTTTACCACCAACTCTATGGACGTTCCCAAGTTCGGAATAATACACGACACCGAGCGGTGATTACTCCATCTGCTGTCTTCCGAGCTGCGTCCAATCACGGGTGTCCTTGTTTGTCTTACCTCTGTAATCCACGAAGGCTTTTGCGTGCGTTTAAAATGCGAGCTGCATCTCCGGTTGAAGAGGTTCTGTGGATCAGGACACCCAGATTCTTTCAGTAGTAGCTTGAAAATCGGCAGCCCACCCTTACAAATAGTCTGGTTTGTCGTCCAGGGGAACACTGTCTCGGCCATGGGACCGTACAAGGGGTTGAAGCAGCTGCGCCCCATCGTCGAGGACTGCATCAAGAACGTCCATCCAATCTACCACATAAAGGTTAGAGTATGCTGCGCGAAGGGGCGGAGCTTTCAGGCAATTCGCAGGAGCTTGTGTTTTGCTGTTTGAGAGGCTAATATAGCTGCCTACTTCTTAAGTTAAGTCCCGATTTGTTGTAGGGATAAGTGCAGAGACATCTATTCTGCGATTCTCGCTTGAGTGATGAGCAATAGCAAAGTGAGAGATTCAGCAAAGTCTGCTGGTAGTAAGGGTCAGAAGCATTTGCAAAAGCTGTGGTAAATGGAAGCGGATGAGTGCAAAACGCTCCTACAGAAAGTCAAGCAACTTTTTGAAGTTGTGTCTAGATACGTTGCGTTCAAGATTGCGGTCGTTTTGGCTTTTGCTAACGGATTGTTTTGTCGCACAGGCCCTCATGATCAAGAAAGAGCTAGCCAAAGACCCTCAGCTGGCGAACGAAAGCTGGGACCGCTTTCTTCCAAAGTTCAAGAAGTAAGCTTCTCCCTTGAGCACTTCTTGTCGACCTTCCTAAGATTGACGAGCTCTTAAATCAAATGTCTTCACTCAGCTCCGCCCAACTTGTCCTGGCCCTCTGCGCATTCCTATGTTGATTCACATTCTTGCCGGACTCTGCAACGAGATTTATCTTCATTGAATAAGAAGGTCAAGGCACACTTGTCGGCATTGCGGTTACGGAAGGTCTCGATCTAGAAACATCTGTGATTTTCTAATTTTCTGTATCAAGTTTTCGTCTGCTCGTGCAGTATAGGGCTCGTGAACATGTCAAAGTTGGGTCGTTTCTGCTCTCAATCACTTCTCCTCCGCTGCAGGAAGAACGTCAAGCGCAAGGTGCCGAAGGAAAAGAAGGAGAAGAAGGACTACACGCCGTTCCCGCCCCCGCAGCAGCCTAGCAAGGTACGTAGTGAACGTTGCGAGAGCAGGTGCCGCTCTCTTGTATGCGCTCGACCTTCTTAGGAGCCTCAGAGCTTACATATTGGACCAAGGTTTCGGGCTCGCGCCCGTTCCTTACCATTTCGTTCCGTTTGGGGCTGTGATGAGCTCCTACTTTCCGCCCGTGCATGGGGGATTGGTCGTAACATCGACCACTAGGCTTCTCTGCGAAAACCTCCTTGCAATCGCTCCGTAGGACTCCTCCGTTGGATTCTGTCGTCGAACGGTCACATCTTTTAAAATGATATCATGACCGCCCTAATCGCCAAGCCATCGCCTTTGCTTTGTCTCTGCACATCGACACCCCTAATTAGCCCTCAAAGGTCCCTGATCTTGAGCCAGACATTGTTCCGGACTTTCCGTTGCCAGCACCGTGGCGGGTTCAGAAGTTGCACCAGTCGTGTAAGGTTGCAGTTCAACATATATCGCGCCCGTTATGCTGTCCGGCTCTCAAGCGGCCCTGTTTCCGCGTTGTAGGTGGACTTGCAACTAGAGAGCGGGGAATACTTCCTGAGCAAGGAGGCGAAAGCGGCCAAGAAGCGTGCGGCCAAGGACGCGCAGCAGGCGGAGCGCACCGCAGCCAGCAAGCGCAAGCGAGAAGAGGCGTTTGTGCCGCCCAAGGTGAGCCACACCGATTCTAGGGTCCACGTCTGGGAGATAGCTTTTCCCAGAGGTCTCGCATGCAAACGCTTTGGCTCCAAAGGTGCGAACATTTTTGTAGTAGTGCTACGCTGTGGTGACCGCATGCTTGTCAGCCTTAAACCATAAAACCGTAAACCCTGAGACTCTAATCTGAAAAGCCAGCGGGGGACAGATGCTGTCAAGTTGGTCGACAGTAGCGTTGCGAGATGGAGCTGTGACGGTTCGCTTGCGCCAAGGTACCAATTTATTAAGAGAAGGTTGTAGAGGAGCCGACGCTTGTTGGGAGCGCAATACGGTGGTTTAGCAGATTAGTGTCGCGACAATCAGGCCAATCTGACTTTCTGACCCTCAATCTTTTGTCGCACATCAATCAAGAGGTGCGGCCTCGTCCGCGCGCAATTTGTCAAGCCCGGTCGAGTGCCCGCATTGTCTAAGCAATGCCTTATTTCTACGAAACAATTCCATTTGCAGTTACATACTGAGGACTTCTCATTGAGTACAGAGTTCCTCTTCTCTAGGCCACGAGGCCGATTTTCTTGGATGTGCCAAACACGCAGTTCGCTACAAAATGCGGACAGATACTGCTTTTGCTTTTACCTTCTCCACAGTCCCCTCTGTCTGAGTGCGCATGCTCTTTCGCGCAGGAGGAAAAGCGCGGTTCTGGAAACGCTCCTGGCAGTTCAGCCGCAAAGGCGAACGGCGCCTCGCGACCGGACGGCCGTGTGTCCAAAATGGACGTATCGGACATGGCCGCCAAGCTACAGGTAAGGGTGCGAGTTTTGCATGGTGACGTCAGCTGGGGTGCGACTTTTGCATAGTGACGTCAGCTGAAGTGTGATTCTTGCGCATGTCATAAGGGGGTCAAGGAGGCGCTTTGTACTCCGTTTGAGCAGAGGTGCGTCAGCTCCTGACGCTCTGAAACGTCAAGCGCCAGTGGTTGCTGTGAATCCTTCTCACTCGAGGAGGAATGGGAGTTGCGTTTTGAAGGTCTGCTAGTTGCGCTGCGCAGAAGAAGGCCAAGGCTGACGCCAGCCAACGGCAATCGACAGACGACCGCGGCGTCGAGTCGTATCTGGCAGGCGGAAGCAAAGTGCACAAAAAAGAGAAGAGAATCAAAAGGCGTTCGGAAGACTAAGTGGGGAGGTACTGAAGATGCAAGCTGGTTGGAGAAGGGACTGCGGGTAACCGGTCAAGCTAGGGGCTTGTCAGTGCAAGCTCGTAGAAACTCAGAGTCAAGCTGGAACGATACTTTCGTCACTGTTCAGCGGAGTACGTACATCATCACGCCACGTCGTGCATTCTCCTACAAATTTCAGGCGGTTTGTCCGTATCGTGCATTTGCGGACAATTGCAGTAATGCTGACAGGCCAGCCTGATTACCTCTGCCGACAATGGGCAGGAGTGAAGAACAAGCAATCAAAATGTTCTGATAGGATTGCATGCGACTGAATGTTCACTGATTGCCTCCTCGTCAGTTATGATTCGCATCTTCCCAACTGCAGTCAGCAATTTCAGTGAGCGTAATGATGACATGCACATGAACAATCAATTTGCCGGGGTGGCCCGCACATATAATTGGTTCGTATATATACACAGACCTACACATGCAAGCTGCATGCGCTGATTGAGTGGACGCGTGCTGTTATTGTGCTGCCATTGTACGTATGCGCATGCGCTCTGAGCTTGACGGTCATGTCAAGCTCTGAACCATATCAATCGCGCGTTGCTATTGGAATTTTCGATGCAGGACGAATCTAACTGCTAAGAACGGATTACGCTAAGCAGATATTGGAGGTGTTATGAATTCTGCACATACAAAAGCCAACATAAGAAACATGCACACCATTATATATGTCTGTTGCACTTTTCAGTACGTAATGACGCGAGGTATATAGGCATGCCTGCATGTGAGTAATTGCTTGACTTCACTCTCAGCACAAAATGCGTGACACCTGTACATGCTCGATATACACGACGTTTGCCCCAGCTTGATTGCACGTTGCTGATAACCAGTAAGTTAAATCCGCAATCAAATTTCATCTACTTTCTTGAGACGCCATATATGTGAATGGCTCGGAACGAGTATGTGCGGAGTTGAGACAGGTTGGTCTGTTGTGCAGGTCAAAAGTGTCGCATTCGGTGTACGTCGTCCTAGTGTACATAGTGTGTAGTTCCTCATTGTAAGCAAGATTATTCGTTCCGCGACCGCTGTCCATCTTTTGTATGTACATGACTGAAACAATGCAGTATCAATGCAGCCGTATAGACTGTAGTCGGTCTATAGGACTTTGCTGCTCTTCGCAAAACGCCACCTACTCTTCCGATTTCCTGTAACCCCCCTCGCGCATGTCCGCATCCGACGGGGCCTTGAAGCCCCCCCCCATCTTATCCTGGGCCGCCTTTGCGGGGGTGCGATCCCCGCGGAAAAGCCAGCTCAGGGACGCCATAAAGAGCTCCGGGGAGAAGAGCCTCAGGAAAAGCATGCTCTTGTACCACGACGGAATCACCGCTCGCATGGTTTTGCGCCGCGCGGCTGCGACGGCGGCCTTGGCGAGAGCGGGGGTGGGGAGGACTGGGAACAGACCGAACCCGGGTTCCTGCAGGAAAAGCAAGAGATTAGATCGGGTTTGGTGACAGATGGAATGTGACAGAAAGTAAAAGCGATACCGAGAAAGCTGTTGTAAAAACGGAGAGTGGGCAGGTTCATTTAACGGAGCACGTTAGATAGAGTCTGATCTTGATTGCCCAGAGAGTCAGAATGCTCGATGACGTTACGACTGCCGGCTGTCACCTTCTCCGAGGAGTCATGAGAGAGGCGACAATTGCCAGGAAACCCCTCAAATCCACAGATGCGACTCGTACGGAAATCCCTCAAATCGACAGATACGAATCGTACCGAAACCGTCTCATAAACCAAATATATGAAAGCCACACTGCAAAACGCCTCAAACTTCCTTGTATTCCTGGTTTCCTGATCGGTCTACCCAAAAAACCGGCCGAGTTACTCTTTCCACAAACCGCGTTGCCCAATCCACAGATTGTTCCCTTCTCACCTTCCGCAGTTCTCTCCCTTCTTCCGCCGACGACCAGCGCCCGTCAGCCAGTATGACCTTGCCATCTGTCATCTCGGACTTGACGACGCCCGGCTGGAAAATGGTTATGGGGATCCCCGGGCCTGCTTCGAGGCGGAGCGTCTCGAAGAATTGGCTCACCGCCGCCTTGGAGGCCTGCAAAGAAGCGAGGCGGAAAGATTGAAAAATTGGGAAAGAGTGATGAAGGAGCCGGGTAAACGCGACTTATTTTTTGTGCATTGTTTTGCGCTTCGTTTCTTGGTATCAGAAGCTACGGTCGTCAAAGCTTCTCTCTGTACTCGAACGCGAACTTTTTCTCAATCTTTTCTCAAAGTGCCACCTTGGCTTACTTTGTTTTCAGACGGTTATGCCGTTCATATCTGACATTGTACGCTTTTTTCTTTTGGAGTGTCGTCAGCTGAAACTGCTGATGCGGATTTGATGTCTACGTGACATGGTACAAGATAACCAGAACTCTTGCACTCTCTTGACCCTCAAAACAAAGGCCGCTTTAAAGCAAGCATGGCTCGATATTTACAGTAAAGGTAACAGAAAAATGTTACGACAAATAGATGGGCTTTCTCCCAAAGCCAAGCCGGCAAGGCAAGTCTTCGAGCTCGCGGAATACGTAGCATATGACGTGATCGGAGATTTACAGACCGCCGAAAAATCTGGTCGCGGCTTTGATTGATAACGACAGCCAAAAACACTCCCTGTCTCTTCGTTGGACCATAGCTCGGACTCAAGGTTGATAAGGAAGAGCGCAAAATTGGCTACTAGGCGACTTCCGCCGTTGAATCACTAGCGGCAACGAACAGAAGGGGTTCGCAAATTGCGAAGACTAACATTGTAGATGCTCAGATTGGGCTCCGGCACAAATTCCGCGATGGAATCGTTGACAACCAGCTGCCCGCCGGTTTGGCGCAGGTGCTTCAGCGCGTATTTGGCGCAAAAGACGTATCCCCAAAAGTTGACGTCCTGCAACGGAGAATATAAGTCACTTGGAGGTCCTTCAAGAATCTCTTCCCTCGAAAATTAAGCTGGTGAACAGTACAATAGAAGTCAATCTCTTCGATGCAGTGGGGCGTAGACAACGTATGAGGCGGTGAATGCATCTACGGTGCGGTACTAAAATTCTCGTGTCTGACAGAAAGCAGTTTCACACTCCGTATGACGAACAATTACAGACGGCAGATCGAAGGGTATCCCAGCACACTCAAAAACGAGAAAACCTGTCTGCGATTTTGAGTGAACTATTCGTATCGTATTTGTGAGAGACACTCGGACCAGTCCGATACGAACAGGCGTCGGTTTGGTCTATGGAGCGCCGTAGGAAAAAGACCAGCACTTTCTGCGAATCAATCTGAACAGAAGGTAAAGTCCTCAGGGGCACGAAGAATACGGAAGAACGTCGACGCGAGAGCTCCTCACCATGATCGAGCGGAAGCCCTCGGTTTCTTGCACCTCCTCGAATTTGTAAATGTGGGCCACACCGGCGTTGAGCACGACGCAATCAACTGTGCCGCGGCATAGTAGTCAGTCTCCGTAGGCATAGAGGAAAGAGTTCAAAAGCAAAACCTACCAGCAATCAATCAGACAGGATCGAAGCATTGATTTCTCGAGCCTAGCCTAGGTGGCACCATTCTAGGGACTCTCGCAAAAGGGCCTTCTGTTTCGGCGTCTTTTTGGACGGGTTCGAACGGAAAGGGCTCTTACGGTTGAGACGAGCTTCTTGTTCTGACTTGGTTGGTGTAAAGTCAGAGTGCGAAGCTAGAGTCGGTTTGCTCACGTCTGCCGTAGTGTTTCGCCGCTTGCTCAACGGCTTCCCTGCACCCGTCCTGGGTGCCTAGGTCCGCCGGCACAGTCAACACGTCGGGGGCGCCACGACGTCTGCAACAAACATTATCGCTTCAGAACCCGATGTCTTAACTTCCGCTTTGATAAGTTGCAATACCTCGGCCTTGGTACGTCGGCCTTGAAACGGTTAAAACTGGTCAAAAAACGCCACCAACCGGGACGCTCCACGGGACGGGATTGCGTCTCTCTCCCCGATGCAATTCATCTCTGGTGGTCTACCATATCCGGATACTTTCGCCCTGAAACCCAGCTGGAAGACAACCCGCTGAATCCTGAGATCTCTTTGAAACTGAAGATCCCTTTAAGGTCTCAGAGCGGGACAATGCTAATGGTGGGATTGAAAACAGGTTCGGATCGAATGTGGGGTTGCAGTTAAGACGATGTGGCAATTGGTCATCAACGGGCTGTAAGTCTAGTGAATATATCAAATCGGCCCACGTTATCGTTGGCAAACTAACTGTGAAACGAATTCCATGTCGACTTCCAACTCGAATCAAAAACCAGGTCGATGAAGGTGGGATAATGTGCCCCTCAACGTACAAGAAGAAAAACTTCAGCCTTTTCTGCAGTTTGGATCACCCCTTCAGAGAGCCCAAGAACTACCAAATTCAAACTTTGTCCTTCTCATGTCTGCTAAAAATCCAGCCTTCATTGAATGCCTGAATTCGTGTCCCAAAAAGCTTATCTCAGAATTATAAGGGATGGAGGATCCGTCACACCTGCATTCTTCAGCAACTGCATCTAGTTTCTCCTCCCTCCGGGCGACCAGCGCGAGGCGAGACCCCAGCCCAGCATATTGATACGAGATGTGCTGCATTAAGGAGCAAGAGAACGCTGCTCAGATTCCACACAGAATGCATGCAAGTCAACCTGCTGAAAAATTTGTAGATGAAACGCAGCATCGATCTTGTAGGCCAACCACTCCCATAACCCTTCTCTTCAATACCTCTAAGCTCGATATTAGATGTAATAAGCCTCAAAGGAATTGCCTACGGACCTAATCGTCGCACATACGAGCAAGCTCAACTCCTGATATCAGCTCTCCACACCTTATTCGCAGCTGGTCTGATTCATTACTTATCAAACTCTCATTCTTAGCTGCCAAGGGCTTACCATCCCAATCCCGGAGCTGGCCCCAGTGACCACCACCACTTTGTCCCGCATATCCAGGGGGCGATTGGCCAGCTGTTTCACCCCCCTCCAGACCAACAGCACCGGTGACGTCACAGCCACCGTCACGAAAATAGTGACCGGTGCAACTACGTTGAGCAACCGGTTGGTGAACCCCAGGGAGGTATCTTCGACCTCCATCATGGCTGGGCGGCTCTCAGTTCCAGAAAGGCTTTTCAGTCTGTCTTCGTCCTTTGGGTTTGTGCTCTCACGGGGCTTAGTCAGAGTGTCTTCACCACGACGAGCCATGCAAGTGATGTTTCTCCTCACACTGTGTCCTATAATTCTATGTTGGCTCAAATCAGCTGGAACAAAGCCCAGCTCCTTGTAGTCTGAAACTTTTCTGGAAGTTGCACAAATCGATTGGGAGCTCGGATACGATGAAGAAAGAGGAAGGGATCTCGAAGCAGACTTTCCGCACCTGAAGCTTTGTCCTGCCGTCAGAGCAGAAACACCACTGAGGTTGACTCGCCTAATCAGCTGAGAGCTCAAAGTTGCTGGCCCCATCGGAACGACAAAGTCCGACTCTGCCTAAGGATCGTCTGCGCAGCATGCAAAGCTTTCTAGACTGTCTGCTCTTCGCGGTGCAAGAGGCTTGCATTCTGAAAGGTTGGCACACCTTCGCTTCCTCAAAACCGATCAGACACAATCGCAGCTGCAGTGAGCCCTGTAACATGTTTCAAGGGTTCGAAGTGCTCAATGTGGGGCCAACGCCACAACGCGAGGGGCGCAACTTCGAAGAGCCCATGCATGCGAGAAAACGTGCTGCATGCACTGCAACCATGCAGTCTAAGCCAGTGAGCGGTGGGGACCCCAGCGGCGCTGCCTAAGCCAGCCTGTAGAGCGCGACCGCGCGCGTGCTAATACGCCGGCCGCTAACGATCCGACGTCGAACGCGCGTACCCGGTACCGTCGGAGAGGAGTTAGGTAAATATTCTTCTTTCAATGCCGCCGGAAGTCCGGAAGGGCCGGGGCGGCTCAGGCTGGCCCGCGGCCGCGAGAGGGGCGGCGGGCCCGCTAAGCAGTGCCAGTGCCACTGCTGGCAGAGTCGCGCGATCGAGCCGCCGCCGCGCCCTGAGCGTCATCCGACGCACGGTAGTATATCATTAGGTTGCCTGGCGCGTCGGATGCCATTGAATTATTCACTGAAACAGTACCTCTCAGTGTCGAAATCCTGATGCTCGCGTACACTTGGATTGGCTAGCTACGTCGCTTAGATTTATGGCGATGACAGAGCTTTATATGGACATGCATGTGGCCGCGCATACTTAGGCTGTTACGTGAGGGGGTCACCTGGCATAGTTGATGCTTCATAAGATGCTTCCTTGATAAAAGAACAGCCTTTTTTTCGAGACCGTGCATAATCGAAAATTGCTCAGTGTTGTGATGCGCGTGCGAACCAGTCAGAATGGCGACTTGGGACTTGACCACGTACTCAATATACAGCCGGCCACCAGAAAGCTCAATATGTATATCGCCGGCACCGTCAGTTCTATGACGTGCTTTCGCCACGCGCTCGGCCAGATTGAGATGAGAAACACACCATCGTCGGGCCGTTCACCAGGTGGGCTTCACATAGATTGCATGATGGAATGACTTCCTCTTGATCTAAGCACCAGAGCACATGCACCTACTGCAAAGGTAATCGGCCTCAACTCAGATCATGATGTCGAACTTAACGAAAAGCAAGCCCTCTTAAGAAGGTGGTATCCATTCGCCAGGCATTCCGAGTATCCCACCGAACGTTCGTCGCGCCCACATCCAACTCGCTAGCAATCTCCGTCTATTCTGCGAGTCCCACCCTCGCTCGCAGGGTGGGGGCTCCGCATGGTCCGCCTCAACATACACATAGTCGCACTTATACCGCTTCTTAGTCTCGAGATTGATTTGCTCCAACTTAATTCCATGTAACGGGGCTTGAGGTAACCCCTGTGAGCATTGAGGAGAAGGTTTGGTTGTCCTTCATCATTAGATCATACAGAAGGTAACGGCTGAGAACACAGAACAAGCACCTAATACTTTCGCGAAATGTTCCAACCTCGGCAATCCTCGACCAGAAAGAGAGGATTTCTGTCAAAAAGAAAGCTAAAGCGAAGGATCACAAACTTCAAAAGTGATCCCGAGTGGTCGAGGTCAAAAACGAGGCGTGATGGACAGCCAAATGTACCCTTGAGTGAAGGAAAACCCAGCGAGCGTCTACCTTTGAGCAAAGAATGCTTTGAATACTACTTGGAAAATCTAGTGAGACAACAGCAAACCAAACAGGATTGAGCCCAACACAAAAGATTGCCTCCGAGGCTCACGTTCAGCCGCCCCGCATATACAATCCGTCGTCCGGTCACGTTTTGAAAGAGGATTCCTTCGAGCCGGGGCAGGTTATCGGCGGGCGGAGTGGCCGCATCTTGGCGGTAGTTGCTGCACGTGAAGGGTCAGCTTTTGCTTTTCAAAAGACGCTGGGCCAGCTTGTTCGTACTTCCTTCCAAGAAGGTATACATAGTTCCCAATGATAGACAATCAAGGTAATTTCGCGACGGTCAGGGTTCTGCAAGCCTGAGATGCGTCGTCAGTGAGCTTTCACCATCCGTAATTGCACTACAAAGCCCTCATGACCCATGTTGAAGTGAATGTCTGACTGTCTCTTCTGAAGCTTACGAGAAAGTTTGAGATCTACACGAGATAGCACCAGTCGAATTCCTGCTTTCCGCCACATAAACGGATACCGAGCACCCGAAATGGTACGTAACTCTCAGTCCACTACCAGCTCTGAGGGAAATTTTGCAATGGCCGCCGCAAATTCTCACCTGTAAACGCTGATGCCGTATCGTTGATCCTCCAGGACAATGTCCCGGTAGGTGATATTGGTGACGTACCCACCCCGGCCCGGAGCCGACTTGATGCGGAGACCGTTGGCCCCGGGTCCCAAGGAGACGATGTTCTGCAAGAGTAACAAAATCCAAGTGGCAAGGAGAAGCGAAAAACATAATCTTGCGCCTACCGCCCCTCCTTTAAGCGGCCCTCTGTGCAGCGAAAGGTCCTTCAGAGCTTACATCCTTCCATGGGTTCACCGAATATCCACTTCAAACGGTACCGCTGAAATGGCCGCTTCAGAAACATCCTTCACACCGCGCAATCGTCGACCATCACCTGAAACAACACGTTTGCGACGCCCCCGCTCATCTCGCTTCCAATGGACAACGCGTGCGTACGTCCGACGACCAGGTTCCGGACCACCACGTTGCGGGTCGGCTTGCCGTACGCAACTCCGGCTGCGTCCATTCCGCTCTTGACTGCGATTGCATCATCCCCGGTGCTGATGTAGCAGTTCTCGATCAACACGTCCGTACAAGAGTCTGCGCAAAACAATTGGTGTGAAGCGCAATTAGCACGCTGGAGACAGGGTCCTCCTTCCTTTCATGACATCGGGCACCACTGCGAAAGAGAAGGGAAGACTTGGCAGGTGAGAAACCATTCAAGTACGAAGGCCATGGCATGTGTTTCCCGTAATGCGTCTAGGCGGCCGGTTGAATCCCATTTTGCTCAGGATTGGGACAAGAGGAGAAGAAATTCAGTATAAAAAGGAGGTGGGGTTGCTTCCCGGCAGGTCTGGAAGGACTGTTCTTGACAGATCAGCAACAGCAAGGCACATGATTCGCATGCAACGAAAGGGCCCATAATTACGTACCCGGATCCACCCCATCGGTGTTCTTCGAATGACTTGGGGCCGTGATCGTCAGCCCGTGCACGGTGACGTCATGGCTGTCGTAGAGATGGACATTCCAGAACGGCGAGTCGAGCAGGGTTAGGTTTGAGATAACAACGCGCGACGACCACTGTATTTCAATCAGGCAGCCCCGTGTGTGGTTAAGCTGACCCGCCTTGTAAGCAGCCCACCAAGGGTCGCCCCGCCCGTCAATTGTGCCGTTGTTACCTGTGAGTAACCGAGACATCGTATCAGGTACCTTGTCGAGAGCAACTTTCCGACGTCATAAGCATTTTCCTTTGATCTGACGTCTGAAAGCATAGCTGAGAGTGCCAAGTTGGTGGAGCCAAAAGCCCCTCAGTTACAGCTACGGAAGTGGCTGCGTTGGGGCTTGCTTAAAGAAAGTCCATTCTAGGGTGTTTACTTTCGAATGTCACAAGTGAACTTTCCCGTTGCTGGCAGAAATTGCTAACCAACCACTTGCCATCCCTCAACTTCCTGCTCAGGTCGTGTTTCTCATCCACTGGTATGTTCCTTTCAACAACTCGTCATTGAGAGAAATCCCTTCAACGAGCTCCTTGCTTTCTGCGCATTGTATGATTTTCGAACAGATGGCTTGGGGCATTTCCGAGAAACCCCTCAAAGCCACTAGCTGAGGTTGCAATTCTCCTGCACCACCTGCCTTTTGCTCTGACTTTGTTTAAGCTGAACCAGGGGCGGCCAATTACAGCCGTGATGCCACCCAGGATTCGTGCTGATCAATCACAAATGAACGCGGCAGCGAAAAGTTGGACGCTGTGGTCTGCGCTAACAACCTAAGTGTACACAATGGCACATCCCCTTTGAGGATAGCTTTGAGGAGAAGAGCAAGTCTCAGAACAGACAGGGCAGCATCATATGCAGAAGAGCAGACCAAGCCTAAGATTGTCTCACCAGTTATAACGACGTCAACTAGATGCTCCCCATGGATGAAGCTGCCATACCGAGGCCCTTCTACGTCTCGCCCCTGGCCGTAGGATGGCAATGGGGGCAATACAGGCCAGTGAGAAGGGTCCTGCACAGGGCGGCTGTTTAGTCAGTCAGTTTCTCAAGTACTAGATCGATGATGAAGACGACTGCTTTGCTTCTAGACTGAGATCCTTCATCTGCAATCGTAAGTACCCATTACGCGTTGGAAAGTGATTCGTAAGAAGTGGATTGTGCCTCACATGCTGACATACCCCCTAATCCAATGTATGATGTATCAAAGCCGTTAAACCTTTTGCAGTCCACCACCTTGGTTTGGGCCGAACAGTCATCTGTGTACTGTTCTGCCATCCTCAAGCCCACCGTAGCCTAACGCTTTCATCATCAAACCTGCCAAAACATTCAAAAGTAGCTTGTTGAGTGTTTGTACTGTGTCTAATGTCGATCCTCATTGATTCTCTGGAGTGGTGCAAACAACGTTGCAGACATCCCACCTGGCTTGCCAGTAAAACTGCCCCGCTGTCCAGAAATAACGTCAAATGGCTCGTCAGGTTGAAACAACCCGTGAGCCAGACCCCATCTGGAACACGTAATGAAGCGCCCCCCACGGCACCTGAAGCTGCTGCGACCGCGGCCTCAAAAGCTGCGGTGTTAGAAGTTGTTCCATCTCCAACAGCGCCAAAATCCACGATGTTGAGAGCTAGCGTTCTTGCTGGCAGCACGGGGGGTGTGGCGGGAGCGTAGGGATCAAACCCTGTCTGAGGGTGGAAACGACCATCTGGATAAAACCCTGTGCCAAATATCACTGGGTCTGGGTTGGGGGCTGGTGCCGCCTGAACTTCTTCTACAACGCCTCCCTCTGCATCTTCATCAACCGTTTCCCTTGTGATCACCTCAGGTGGCTCGCTGCTTGCATCTTCAGCAGCATCAACAGCTGTTTTCCCAACTGTTTCATTTTTGAAACCCTCAACTGTCTCTTTGCTAGCCTCCTCAACAACGCCGATCAAGTGTTCCCCCAATGACACCTGATCCTCTTCCAATATCCCTTGCTGTGCATCCTCTTCCACTAACTCACTTCCATCTCTCTCAAATGGGTTCTCTATCACTTGCTCAACTTGTTCAATACTTGGGCCCCCGTACACATCTTCCAGGCTCTCCACTTGCTCAAACTTTGCTGATGTCAAGTGACTGTGAAGGCGAGATATGCGAGTAATCTCAAGGTTGTGTAGCGCAAAGCAGTCAGCTCCATCACAGGTGAGGGAGCTCAAGAAAGCCACAGCGAGGAGGAGGGAGACGACCGCCACCGCCAGCGAGCAGACATAGTTGCTAGCCATAGCCGTTCCATAACCTATACAACTTAGCCAGAAGCTGATACGCGGCTCCTAAAGAGCAAGTACCGTTGCAACCTTGGGAGCAGCGCATTAAATGTAACTTCGGTTCATTTAATTGGCATTTGATGCTCCTTCTTCTAGTGGCAGAGCAGCGAGCTTCCTCAGCGCCGGAGATGTTCAGCTCACACTGCAAAGGAAGGCGCCATGGGCGATTGGGTTGGTCCGACTTTGCCAGACTGGTCGCCGGTCAACCCCTTCACGCTCCGTACGCCGCTGCCAGCAAACCCTATTTTTTGGCGACACCCGACCGGGGAGTCTGGAGGCGCCATGGCATCTTTCTCACTTTCTGGGACTCCTTGTGCTTGTGAGAAGTGACAGAAGATACTGCTGGCAGGGCGCCAACACTGATAGTCTTTGTGCGGCTTTCTTATATTGGTCTGCACAATAGAAAGATCAGTGGCAACATGAGTTGTGCAGATCTTTGACGGTTTGTCAGAGTCGAAGCCCAGCTTTTCCGGTTTCTGAAGCAGGCGCTGAGCGCGACAATGAGGGGGCTCAGATGATTGACTTGATCCGCCAGGATGGGGCTGGACACGATCTTTGGGAGCACTGTTGAGGTGAGGGCTCAGCTTTCTGCTTGTGCTTGTTGGGTTAGAGAATATCAAGCAGATCTTTCCTTGCTGTGTCAGATTCGTCTGCTTTCTTTACGTGGCAGAGCTGCTTACTTTCAGGACTTCCAATCAGGCTGCAAGAAGGATGAAGCAAGTCATATAATTGTCTTAATCAGATCTCAGCATAGAGCGTGTTCATGAAGGCGCTCTATGAATGAGCTTATCTTTATAAGTGCAAATGCTGACAGTCAAAATGAATAAATTTGTCGTCTTTGTGAGACTTGAACCGCATTTGTGGCCATCTGTATCTCAGCTTTGAAGAATACGACACCAATTTCCATTTTCTCTGGTTGCTGCAGTTCTTGCTGCACAAAACGAACGGCGACCCGGTGGCTTTACTTCGATCCATAGCCGACTATGTCCATCGGGTTAGGCCCGTCAGCCAGAGGGTCACATGTTCGAGGGAGTGCCTGCTGAACGCTGCAGCTGACATTAGCTTCTTACAAGGGAAGCCCCAGGCACATCAATGTAACAGATGTCTCGAGCTGCAAACGAATGACAGACATAGGCCTCTTGGAGGTCTTCGGCCTTCTGCAGAAGCTTCTACACTGATTGCCAGCGAAGCAATGCGCTCCAGCTTTGAGATCATAGTTGCGCCCAGCACAAGCGACGCACATAATGAGCAGAAACCTCCTGACTGCGAGACCAGTGGGTCAAGCAGCTTGACAAGTAACATCCCAAACTCAGCGTCTGATGATTTTAGTTTCCAAGTGGACAACTCCATCCACCCAGCAGACAGGGGGTCTTCATCTTGTTGTCCTGAACCAAGTCGGACGGAGAGTCAATCTCGGAATATGGGGCCTGCTCTAGCTGCCAACCAAATAAAAGACCACGCTCCACGGGTCTGTTTTAAGGATCAAGATGCTGTCAGCAGTCAGGAAGTTCCGGAAGGAAGACCACTTGCGGGTGCCTCCACCAGCAAGCCGCTTGTGCCTCATCTGCATCTGAAGGGGCTCGCTGCCAGTCCCAGAAGTGTCTCTGCAGCAGTAGGCGCAAAGACTAGAAAAAGCAACTCCCGCTTGATCCAGAGTGCAAGGGGTCCACGGCCAGACGCATCAAGCCAGCAGCAGCTCGACAGCCCTAAAAGCTCCAAACACGGGAACTTATCTGAGAGGGGGCGGCCTCACACGTCTGGGTTGGACAGAGAACGACATAGCAGACCTACTGCCGATGGGAGCGAGTCTGAGGGAAGCTCCCCCAGGAAGGACCAGGGGGTCAAGGAGCTCATGACCCCAGATGAACACATCAAGGTGAGATATGGCCTCCAATTTGATTAAGTTCTCAAAATGGTTATCCTAAGATGATGCTTGCTGACATGACACCAACTCTGTGGAGCCTCGCTTGACCGACGGAACACCTCGAAACACCAACGGCTATGTCATTACGAGTTTCTGAAATGTGTGGTGGCAACCTCTTCCTCGTCGTTTCTTTCAAAGACCTGGACTCGCTTCCGATCCTTCTTTCTCCGACTTCCTTCTCAGCAACCCTTGGATCACCCTGGACTGGAGTGATCATTTTCCCTCTTCTGATGCACCGAACCAACTTTGGTGTTGTTGCAATGAACGTTTACAGTGCAAGAGCTGAAACGATCTGCGAGCTCGGATTCCGGCTGCACCTTGGCACTTTGGCAAGGCTTGCTGAAGGAGCACTTGTAGACTCTCCGTTTAGAATGGCTCGTCCTTCTTCATTCGATCTTCCAGAACTTTTGTCAGCTACCTCGCATGGTCGAATGAGTTTCGAAACTGCACGCGGAGGAATCCTGGCATCCTTCCCCATTGACGCACCTACAGGAACTTTGAAAGACCAGATTGGCAAGTGCAACTTTCGTGAGCGAGCAGACACGTTGTCTTGCAACCAGGGCTCGTTGCATCGAATGATTTTATCAGGACCTTTCATGTCGTCACTCAAAGCAGCTTCCATTTCTCAGGAGTGGCTGGCGGAAAAGAAGCGAAAGGAGGCCCGGCGAGAGCGCCACATGCGGCGGCGCCAGCTGGCAGAACTCGAGTTCATCGCGGCCCTGAGAAAGACGCAGGCGCGGCGACTGCACCACCTGCACGAAGCGGAAGGAAAGTTGGACCTTCAAATTGGGAGCGAAGCGGAGGTGAGCAGGACAGGTCATGGCTTAACAGGTCATGGCATTTTCGGATGGTCTATCTGCGAGACCTGGCGGTCTCTTTGTGCTTGTTGCTGCATTCACTTCTTCGGCGCTGGCTGATGCGCAAATCGTATGCCCTCTGAAAAGAAAGTCGTTGAAGTCTTCTTGAGAGAGAAAAGCAGGGTTGACAGCAAGGCTATATCGCCGAATATACGCCGCGCTTCAAAAGCTGGCACCTCCGATATCGATGGAAGGTCACGGCTGGCCGCCTGATTCTCTTGCTTGCAAAAAGTCTTTCTTCAATACGTGCTCGTGGCAGTTGTCAACCTTTGCTTTGCGAAGTTTTGGTTGTGAGAGGATGTGAGCGTGTTTGTCTCGTTCTAGGAGGCATGCCAGCACAGAAGCCTCAATTTCACAAAGCTGCGAGTCGCTCGAGCAATATGAGCTGAACCGATGCATGGGCAACCTTTTTTGCAGCGTCGCTTGGATGCTAGTGAAGCTGTTCCGCACCAATCAGATCCACAGCAATACCGCCAGAGTTCCATCGCATTTCTGGATTCTCGAGGTCAATTCTGGCACTGAAGCGCTGCTTCTTTTAAGGGGTCTTTTGTTATGCAGTGGTGAAGAACTCAGCCTCCGTTTTCAGACTAATGTTCGCAAACACGTTAACACGTCAACGGGTAGATATATAATATGCGAACCGACCTCATGGATTTTTCGCTCGACCTTTATGCAGGTGCTCTTCAAGAAGGAGAGCGCGCAAGCCCGTTACCGAAGTTTGAAAGGCTCTGTTTGAGAAGATGCCGCGAGCCGGTCCTTGACACAAAGATTTGGCTCGTCGCTGACTAGATCATGCTGCTAAGATGTATTTTATATAACAGGCTCAGTTTCGAAATGAAAAGGTCGTCCAGGCATTACTTCGAAAGAGATATTCACTGCACGCGACCCCTCAGGATGGCCATGTTATGCAGGCTCGAGGAGCCATGCGGTGGCAAGATAGGATTACAACTGGCGCTTAAAAAGCTGATCGAAAGTCGAGCCACGTGCATTAGTTAGAGTCCGCAGTCACAGGACTTTAGGATCAGAACGTTTGCATCAAATGTAGTCGATCTCTACAGATCCATCGCTCAAATTCCTCTTCAGCAGAAGAAGAAAATAGTCGGATTCAAGATTCATCTGCAAGAAGTATGATCGGGTTAGCTGAAGTTGAGAAGTTAGGAAAGTTGATGGACTCAACGTAGAGCTAAGCAGACACACTCAAAGCAAACTGCCAAGTTGTGTATGCCAAAGAGGCCTTCAGTAGTAAGCGGGCCTATGGTATAATGGGATTACAGTATAGAAAGATCATATGGTGAAGCGCTTGGTCTGGTGCAAACCAGTCTTCTTCCGCAGCTATATAGCGTGCCTATGGCTAGTATATGGCGGCAAATCCTGGCTACCGCGTTGCGATCTGGCCAGGAGGGCAGGAGCCTGCATGGGCATCCAACTATGACTCACTCATGACTCCGACTCATGAGCCCGCCATATATGAGCAATAAGAGTATCTACCATCGGCCCTAATTCCGGAATTTTGCAATTCTTGCCGGGAAATGCAAAAACCTTAGGTATTCTGGACCTAATAAAGCAGCCTACCGAGCACGATGAGACTTTCACCAGTTCCAATTCCGGATGATTCGAACGCTATTCTTTACACCGTGTGTCAACTACCGACTGAATCTGTTATGGCCGGTATAAGGTTTTTGCAAAATTCCGGAATTAGGGCCGATACTCTTATAAGTTATGGTTCAACATCTTGATTAATTTCCCCAAGTGTAGTACACGTGATCAGGCACACGAATTTCGAATTGATTGCGTAGAGCAGACACCGTCCGATAAGCTCTTGATAACTGTCGATGGTTCACGGCTCCCGAAAGTCGTTGATATCGTGACCAAGTCAGACCAATGCAACGTCAAATTACCTAGTTGCTGTGGTGATAATGTTTGTATAGATTCAGCTGGGCTTCACCTCTGATACTAATAGTATTATGGTAAAGTTTCGGGACATGTTTGTGGTGACACTGAAAGTCAGCTTGCAGATTGAGCCCAGAGAAGGTGAAGAAGAGGGCAGCGATTCAGACTGCTGGGCGCTGCATTCAGCTCAGCACAAGAGCAATGGGTTTCCATCTTCCAAAAGCGCTTGTGAGCGAGATCACCAAAGCGGCCAGGAAAGTAGGAGTCAGGTGAGCGATCTCGTGCGCTTCTGCTTGCCAGCTCCCTTCATCTTTCCAGGCGAGTGTTCGGGGTTAAACACACAAGACCAGGCGCGATTTGAGGGGATGTGGCCCCAAGGTGGCCGCGAGCAATCATCCACAATTGTAGAGGCTTTGTATGGTTTTCAATGCCTGCAATTTGTGCATAGCAGTGTGCAAGCACCAGCAATGTGGTACCCAAGTCTGGCCGTTCCAGAATAACAAAGGGGTTAGTATGTCAGCCTAGGGCCAGGGGTAAAATTTCTCATGTCTCTGATTGGTACCCAATTGTGCGCCAAACAATCAGCGGTACGGGGTTCCTGGTCCTCTTTAAGCACGATCAAATCCCCTCGGGCAAGGTCTTGGGGCGCCTGCTCAGCATTACACCTCTGGACAACCATCGAAGGGGAGAATGGCCTGTGCTTGTACAGTGCCCTTCTCATGTACATCAACTCAGCGCGTCTGGACTCGAATTGTTGGGCCTTGCGTCAGAATCTGTGTTTAATGTGTCCCATTCATCCCCGAGCTGAACCTCTCAGTATCTTCGTCCTTTGAAGGAGGGTTTGCACAAAGGTCGCACAGTAACAGAAGGGCGATCCTTTCTCCTACTCACTCAAGCCCCCACCTTTCTTCCTTCACTAAAACCCCTCCACTCAGCAGTCATTTCTAAACATAAGTCCACCTCAGAAAGTCCTTTCCACCAGAACCAGCTCACTCTACTTATATGCTTCCACCACATTGTGCCCTGCAGTGAAAAGCTAGTCCACCAGGGGCTCCAGGCGCTCGATCTTGAAGCCAAGACCGGTGCCCCCCCCAACAGCGGCGCTGGCTACAGGCCGCCACCTGGCGGCACCCCATACGACCATGTGGCGGGCCCGAGCGCCGCCGCTGTGCCGCAGCCTCAGCACGCAGTCGTCGCGCCTCGGCCGGACTTGGTCGGGGGCAGCGTCACACCGACGCAGGAGGAGCTCAATAACTTCCAGGCGGCGGTAAATAAGCTATGGGACCTGGATGTGAACAGGCTCCAACCGGGCGTGGATTATGAGATCGAGGTGAGGGACAAGTGCGGGGGGCACTGTGAGGGTGGAAATGCACCAACTTGTCATCTTGCTTGTTTTTGAAACGATATTTGAATCCTTCTGTTCACGTTCACTTAAGCTGGTCTTCAATTGATGTATCTCAAGTCGTGTGCTTGCAGCAGCGGTTCCTAGAAGGAACCGGACCTGCTGCATTCCATGTCACTATGTTTCGCGACATTGCCCCATTATGGCTGACGTTGTGACTCTGTGTCAGGCTGGCGAGGGCAAGAAGATCTACGAGAAGGCAGACCTGGCTGCGGGGTCGTTGTTCCGGTTTGTTAAGATCGAGGCACTGCAGAAGCCCACATTCGCGGCCTTTGTTGCGCTGCTAGATAACTACACCGCGCAGCAGAATGTCACAGAAGTGGTAAGTCGTGAGCAATCAGACTCTGTCTCAGATGCTCCGTCTGCAGACTCTCAGCGTCGGCCAGAGTAGAGTTTCTTGGCTTTTGACAGCACTCAGATGGCCCCAGGTCGCTTGGAGATGGTTCTGGAAACGACTTTAGTTTAGAGGCGGCCACGACCCTTGAACGATGTAGGAATGATAAGACGCTTGCATGCTCGCCGTTTCTTGATTCGACAGTTGGGTCTCTAGATTCTGAAACTTTTCTTCATGAAGAGTTCAAATCCTCAAAGGCGGTTGCTGATGTATTGTTGGTGATATCAGCAATGGTTGTTGACCCTACTCCCTGCCCCTGTCATTCTGGTCATCTCGTGTCCAACCTCGACATCGCTCGCTTGGCGAATGGTTGACCCATGGACGATCTCTAGGAACCTGTACTACACAACTTCTCATCCAAGGCGTCCAGACCAGATTTACATTGGGGGTTATCTCAGCTCTTTACAAACTGTTTGAGGTCAAGGAGCTCTCCAAATGGTTAACGTCCACGTTTCTGCCAGAATCATCCAAAGCACGCATGGTGTGCACGACGATTTTAGGCTCCGGGTTTTCTCAACGTCGTTTGCTTATGCAGGTAGGCCAGGTGGAGCTCCAGGAGATGACGACCTTCCTGGACGAGATCTGCGCCACCCCCGTCATGCAGTACGTCCACAAGCTGCTCGTTGCCAAGAACCTTGCGCCCGCTGACCTCATCGCCTTCAAGAAAGTCCTCTGGAAGTGAGCGCTGCTCGTCGCTCCCCTTCTGGTTTTTCGATGGGGTCTCTCTTCCGCTGGTTTTAGCCCGAAACAAGCGAGTTGACGCTTGACTGGCTTGTGCACCCAGGTTTAGGAAGAGGCAGCGAGAGAGGATCTGGAAGGCTCTGTACGCTAAAAGAGCGGAAGTTCCCAAGAAGCCGAGCAGAAGAGACAAAGCGATGCTAGGAGCATACTGAACGGTCCGCACAAGGATTTTTGTGGAGAAGAGTGCTCTGCGAAGAGTCTCAAACTGTTGAATCGTGAGTTGTGCCACAGCGGTCTCCCTGCTCGAGCTGGCTCGCAACTGTATTGAACCGTCAAGATTGGCGGGTTGGTTGTAGCGAAAGGGTTCAATATGGAGTGCGCAGGAAAGTCAGTCGCAAACGTCTCATCTCTTTCCATCAATCACCGCACCTCAACATCTGAGATACGAAACCGCTCGCCACCTCCTAGAACGCCAGGTCTGCTCAGACGTTCAAATTCACAGTATTTCGGTTCATAAAAGGTGTCGCGTCGTTCCGAAATGTGCGTGCTTCCAGGATGTGGTTCGAGCTGTACGGGCGCGATGGCGGGCGGCAGTCGTCCTCCGGGTTCGAGCACGTGTTTGTGGGCGAGTACAAGGAGGGCGAGGTGGGGGGCCTTCACAACTGGATCCAGATCTTCCTCCTCGAGAAGGCCGGAGCACTTAACTACACGGGGTTCGTGTTGCCCCGGAACCGGGGCAAGCCCAGGGTGAGCCGCGTGTAGTTCAATTTGAATTGATGTGGTTCGTAGAGTGCTTTTAGGTTCAGAGCTGTAAGCCTGATTGACCGAGGTTCGGAGGGCGCTACCCTGGCTCGCCGGAGGGTTTGCCCCTTCGTAATTTTCGTTCCTCTAGAATTCGCAGATGGTCTGCCTTCTTTGCACCTTTGGGGCGGGGTGCAAGGGGGAGGGGTGCTTTACGTACATCTGACTGGGCCGCATCTTCGATGTCGTGAACGGTCTCGAGATTGCAATCTGAGTCGGCATATCATGTCGCGACTCTTTCTAATGAACACCAGCGACGTGTTTTGTCGTTATCCTTCACGGTCGCGTGCGGCAGGTTGTTGTGTTCGCTGAGCTGACATGCTGTCCTTACAACGCAATCGGCCAGGTGTTATCCAACAGATGGATACTTGTTCTCTTTCTCAAGTTGTCGTTGATGGTGTTTTGTGTTCCTTGCAGCCCGACTCCCAGACGCACATCCTAACCATTCAATTTGAATGGATGAACCAGGTCAAAGCTGCGTGCTCCACGTTCATAGGCACATCCCCCGAGTTTGAGATTGCTCTCTACGCGTTCTGCTTCTTGGCAGGAAGCGAAAACAATCGGATGGCTATTGCAGGGGCTAATGTGAACATCAAGTGTTATAACCTGAGCGGAAGAGTTGGGTCCTCGTACCCAGAGGTTGAGGATTAGTAAGAGTTCGTCCGCTTTGAAACTAATTTACGAACATGGGTTGCTAGGTGCTAGAATGTGAAACCGACAAGAGCTGTCAGACGATGTTGAAAAAGGGAAGCAAGGTACAAACAAGTGATTGTCGAGGTCAAATGCTAGGTAGTTGTCCCCACTCCTGGTACCCATGGTGTTGACTATCATGTCGAGTCTGACGTAGGAAAACTAAAGGTATGCATGGGATACCCCATGGGTGATAAAAGCTTCTCAGATAATTAACAATCTCATGCTCAAGTTGATCTGTTAGTGGATTTCGTGGTAACTCTGGACGCAAACATCCACAAGCCGTCACCTTGGTTACATGTGGGCGGACATGATGCGCTGCAAGGGGCTGTAGCTAGATTTGATGAGTATGCGCAGGTGTACACAAATTGCAGGTGTGCGTTTGAAGCCATACAAGCACAGCATCATTTTAAACGCGGCATGCATTGGCAGCATGGCGACCTTAGCTATAATTGCATGCTGCAATACATTGTAATCAAGAATAAATCCAAAAGCGAGCTATATTCTAGAAACGGTGCGAGCTATATACATGATGTTCTCTTTTACACGCAGTCGCCACCTGGGCCATAGGCTTCTTATGGCATACATGATATGAATGTGTGTGTGTTCAAGTCGATCATCACGTACTATTTCTTTCTCAACGTCCGACCTTCTATGATGCTAGCCGCCTTGCCAATCAGTCACCAATCATGCGTGCGGGTCCGCAGCCCATGTGCAGGCTGCCCGGGCCGCCAACATGATGTGTGCCGCGTTCTATACGCACCTCATGATAGTGCCAAGGGCGCAATAACTAAGGTTCTATATGGATTGCGCAAATGATATCATTCTCAACCGGCGCAGCCATTGAGTTCGAAGTTACCTGCCACTGGCAACCGCGACCATATGGTTGGTCTGTTGCCAGGCCCTGGATCATCTCACCTAGATGTACAATTGCTTGGAAAACACGCGCCGGCCAAGTTTAAAAGCACACTAGGCGGGCCATTGAGAAGGCAAACTTCAGAGTCTTTGTAATGACACCCGGTCTTCCAGTCTGTGGTACAGATTATCTACATCTTTATACAACGAGCGAAAACACATAAACCTGTCTAAGATGGTATCACAGAACCATTTATCGCTTCTATTGTTCTAGCGATTGGATGAACCAGCCTTTATCGTTTGAAAATGCTAATACACATGCCCCACTACCGTGAAACTAAATCAACATCTTAACGCAACATATGTGCAACGCCTTACTTGGCCAATTACAACCTGCAACTACAAGCGCGCCTGCAAATGCAAGATCATGACGTCCGGAACCATATGCCGATTTGGGGCGCTGCTTTTTTATCTTTGTACAGATTTGTGATTGCAGAAGCTACTGCTGCGGTAGGGGGGACTCCGGAGCAGCCACCTCAATGTACTCGTCGTCCTCCGGGGCAAGTTCCTCCCCGTGCTCCCCCTTAAGCTCCCTGGTCCACTTGGCAGTCCTTGTGACCTGGTTCTGTGTCCTTTTCACTACATTATCTAGCCCTTTCTTCTGTTGCTTCTCCCTGAAGGCTCTCTGCACAAACAAGAATCAAGAAGGCTTTCAATCCAATCAGCAATAACATCTGTGCTGACTTTCCTGTACAAGCAAACGCTCACCAACACAACCAGAAAAGTGCTCTGCACAACAAATCATCTCCTTTCATTTGCGATGACCCACAGAACATGCATCGCAGAATTGCTGCAACCTGCATTACCTTGTGCATCCGCATTGTCTCCACACGATGCCACTTCTAACAAACGGTGAAAGCTGAAACCCTCTCACAAGAAACTGCTTGGGACCTAGAAAGTTGCACAAACCCCAACAACGTCAGACTACTCACGTTTCGGTGCCATTTGATCTCGTCCGCAACCACCTTGACAATGACAACATAGCCAAGAATGGTGGCGAACGGGTTGATGCTGTTCAGCAACCCCAGGCCCAGCGTCTTTGCCACATTCTTGGCGGTGTCCCCTGCGCCCGCAAAGCGGCGCTTGCCCTCTGGTGACTCGGTTACTTCAATGTCCACGTTGACTGGCTCGTCCACTTCCAGAGAGTCATTGTAGGAGTCATCAAACGCCATCTTGCTCGAAAACCTGACAAAACTGGAACCGCCTGTGTTAACTTGGACACGCAAGAATCAAAACAGCGAACTGATAGGGCCAATGCAGAAGACAACGTCAGCTCCACCTATTTGCAAGGCTGTATTTGTTTTCAAACCTAGAAAAGCTCGAGTAATTTTTTTTTTGGACAGACATTTTGACTAGAAAAGCAGGTGTGCTGTTTACAAAGTATCACAGAGTGCATCTACAAGTCCTGACGGGCACCATATGCAAGGAAACGTACTGCAAAGCGTAATGGGGCGAAGCGTTCCCATACGAGGTCGCACAAGCACGCGTCAATTGCCAAAACCATTGTATATTTGTGCAAGAACGCTACTTCTCTCTCAAAAGCACCTCTGAAAGTGCATCTATCGACTGTGCATCGAAATGCGACGCATTGGACCCTTGTAAGCATGCCTAACATGAGCGGCAAGCCCCCAACCGCACCTAAATAAACCCGACAGGCACAGCAGGAGTTCCTGACATCTGCCAAGTCAGAAAGAAACCTCAAAAAGCACTGAGAGCACCCAATTAAGCAATAGGAGCAGCCCTTGCGTGCGTGACAGTCACCAGAAAACTGCTATTGCAACCAGAAGTATGGCTAAAAAAAACCCTAGTCCGCCTTTCTACTGCTACCCGTGTTACATGATGGGGTTTCCTCGCATACAGTTGCAAACTGTCACAGCCAACAATTCCAGGGCCAATGTATTAAAATGAGCACCTGACAGGGTCACAGACGACTGATTCTGGATGGTATCAACTTTGTGTGCAATGTAAAATAGACTTTTTCATCATCACAAGGCAGAGCTTTTTAGACAGACTGAACAAGCAAAAATTTGAATGGCCCGCCCTTGATTCTTGTAAGTCCACAGCCTAGGAAGTGCTATGGCATACATAAGCGTAATAGACCAGGCAAGGTAGACGGCACCATGTAGAACCTTCTTTAGCAACTCATTGCTGACTGCATGTTCTTAAATAGAGATCAACAGAATCAACCAGCTATACATTCAACGGCCAACCCTGCAAACCCTTTGCATGACCATCGACTCTCCAACCAGGCAAGAACAATTCTTAGTTGAATGGGCATAGCCTGTCAGCCTTGCAATCTAGGGCAGGAAAAGGCCAACATGATCGGCTTGTAACATTCCGTACCTTGCACTGCAACACAGCAACAGAGTCCAAACAACAAAAACTCTCCAATGCTCCCAAAACACAATTGGCCAAATTATGCAACCGTGCCAAAGTTACTTGCTCCGCTCCTTGAATCGACAAGAGGACGTACCCTTCCAGCCAAACCCTTTGAAGTTGCTGTCCTTCCAACGCCAAGCAGCTGCCAGCAACGAAACACAGGTACTACTGCTCTCGTGAACGGTGAAGCGCCCAGGAGCTAACACAAATCGCCCTTCAGTTTGTTTCAGTGGGTTGCCTAGGCTCAGGCTCAATTTCCCTCTGCGAAGTGATCAAGAAAGTGACGTGCCCTCTCGACAGACCGACAACTCAGCCTGACTCGGAGCTGACTTCGGAATCACCGGTTCTACTTTCAACAGACCCGTGTAAGCTTGAACCGGGTTGGTAAATTACTGCTCAGTGCTCATTACCGGGAGAAGGGACCATCTTGCACCGGCTGCCAGCCTCCCAGGGCCCCGGCCTGATCCTTGGCACGTACAGCTTCAATCAGATCAGCCGGCGAAACCACAGCGTGCCCGGTTGGATAGATCGGAAGTTGACGCTTGGAGGCCGTGCAAAACGCCTCGGTTGGTGTCGCAACCTCGCACCTTGCACTGGCAGTTCGCGGATTCCACGTCAGAAATTAGGATGCTCGTCCGAATTTCGGAATGAAATGCACGTGGCTGCGTCAATGTAGCAAGTCTGCAGCCGCCACGCGTCATCTTCAGAGTCGGAGCATCTATTGTAGTCTTGCAAAATCTTTTGCAGGTGCCTCAGGTAAAGTGGACAGTGCTTACGTTGTATTTTTGCTAGGATGATGGGAAGATGGGATCATAGGATGCCGTATGCACAGCAACTCATACTACGTCTAACCAAAGTAATATAAGTTGCTTAAAACGCCGATTGCTCAATAATAGATAACTTGATTGACTTGTTCGATATACGCTTCAAAATATGTCAGCTTTCAAGTTTCATTGTTTCAAGCGGGTTTCAAGCACCTCGCTATGTCAATGAGTTTCTGAGGCTGAGGGCTCATGCAATACTCAATTGGCAGAGTCGTTAAACTCGGAACCATAACCCCGGCAATGCTGTGCATTGCCGCGACTCATGCGACACCCCCGCAGCACACTTACTCATGCGCGGCGTCGGCGGCCTTGCGGCCCGTTGGATCGACCATGTACATAGTATTCTAGTATGCAGGAGACAACTTTGATGACCCTCAACTTGTTACTCCAATGATTGCTTGCCGGTTGACGGCCGTCGCGCAGGGGTCACGATCATGAGTCCAAATTGAACGTGGCATGCTCATAAAGCCGGGACGATCGCCAGATCGCCAAGGCCAGGTCGCAACCATATAAAATCTCAAAGTCACCGCGAGAATGAAAATTTGGTTGTAAACTCCAAGAGTCACACCGGTCAGACAGCAAAAAGCACTATTATCTTGGCAAGGCTTTTGGGATCATATCATCATATATTCATGCACTTCGTTGAGATTCACTGAGTTATGGTGGCAAACTGTCACGTTTGCACATGTAAATTTGTGGGATCAAGAGATCGGCGGTAACATCGGTTGCAATCATGAATCAAACCGCGGCGCTACTAAGATGGTGGCAATGCTGGCCTGCCATATAAGTCGACAGTTAAATATTATCGAGATTTCCACGACCCGACCCGGGCTCGACCCCAACTCAAGTGGGTCGAACGTCTAGCTATCCTCCGGCTGAGACGACGTCATCGGGACAATAAGTTTTCGTGCATCAAGCTGCGCACAATTTGAAAAGTTTGGGCACCTAAGGCAAAACTAGAACGGTCACGAAGATCTTCAGAAATACGCCGATTGATAGGTGATGATAGCGATACATGCACGGCCTACTTCGTCATAATTTCGAAAGCGCGTCGAAAGATCCCATATGTCAATATTGTGGACTCGCTCTTGAAGTCGGCATGGCACTTGACTAAACTGTATATAGTATCCCGCCTATATGTTGAGATATGAGCCCATAGACAGCAATTTGTCTTTTCCATGCATTACCAACCCCCTTGCTGTCTCCTTTTGTCAAGTAGGTAGTGAATTAGTGGCCACTACAGTGGTTGTAACCCTCTGTTATTATGTCCCAAGCGCGGCTAACTACAAAATAGCAATGAGACAGCAATTCTATCCCTCACCGACCCGCTTCCGCAGGTGCAAACAAAAGCCTTGATGGGGTGCGAATCGTCTCCGAACTGGATGCCTGGCAAATGAGCAAATACCACATGCTGATTCTGATGAAGTCGTAACAGCGGATTCAGCAGAAATTGCTGCAACCTTTGACTGAAAACGGCCCCAGTCTTACAGTCTCAACACTGTGGACAGAAGTCAGCCATACAAAACGCCGCTGAATCGTTCAGGATGTAAGAGACCCCCATCAAGGATAGTTCAGTGATGGTAAAGGGCGTGACACGTAGAGGGAAACGTCGTGGCACGTGCACAGCTCACCATAGTCCCACGTCAATTCCTCTCTTGGTGCCACGTGGCGCGCTGTAAAGAACGCGATCCGATAGTGATTGTGATCCGGGCCCTCGACTAAGTTCAACTGGAACATACAGCATGTTTGCATCCTCGCAACGGTGGTTGATGAACCTGGAAGAGGACGTGGACGCACCTGTGACTTGATGACTTCAAAGCTTGACGTCGGCCAAAGAAGGTTGCCACAACACAACGGTCAGCCTCAGAATGACGCGTGCTACTGATCTGGGAGCGCATTTGAGCGAGACGATGCAATAGCTGGACAGAAACACGATCGAGACCAGCGAGACCTCCTCTCAAATAACCCTGTCCACCGCAGGCCATTTCCCTCTCATTTTCGTGTTCAAGTGATGGTGACAGAGCTTTTCACGAGTGCCAACGAAATTGCACCGCTTGCTTGGTTTGAGGGCATCCTATCCGATTTCGAAACGGACTTCGAGACTTCGACAACCAACGAAAAGCAAGGAAGCACTCAGAAAAAGCGCAAGCCAAGCTCGCCCAAGGGCGGATGTCCTTTCGAGACTCACCGCGCAACGTTCCCCATCCTAGTTTCGTCCAGGCACAGCCCGGTATAGTCGGTCATCTGTTCTTCCACCAGATAGTCCGCGTTCAAATCCACCGGGTACGTGTGCGGGGCGTCTTTCCTCTCCCGGTTCCTCTCGTCCATCTCCTCCCCGGTCAGAATCTCGCCGACGTACTCACAGACGAAGGCGCCCGGGGGAAGGGCGTCCAAGCAGCGCACGCCCCAGCCCTTGCCTGTGGACGTCCAAAATACCTGTGGCAGGAACGAGAGGAGTTGCTTTTGTTGGATGGTCGTTCGCACTGGTGAGGTTTGCGACGTTCCGATGGCGATCTCCACACTGGACGGAGCAGTGAACAAGCCTCAGTCGCGGTGTGATTGACAAGAAACAGTAGAGGCGAAAATCGAAGGCAATTGTCCAGAGAAACCAAAAAACAGTCGGGCCCGCGCAATAGCTTGCGCGTTCCAATGAGCATCTGAGCAACCTAGTATTTATAAATGTTGGGGACCGTACGTTTTGTGTGAAATTACTTTGAGAATGTTCGCTTTCAGTGTTCATTGCCGCGAGCGAGCACCTGTGAAGGAACAGCCCACCAAAAGTTCATCAATCTCTGACAACCATTGAACTCAGCCCCTACTAGAGGTCTCGCAGCCAAGCACAAAATCTGTGTGCTTAACCCGATGCCCGGTCCTCGGAATTTACGCCAGTCCGAATCGAAACGTCTTGAATGTGGGTCTTGCCTGCAGGCGTGCCGTGACACCCCGCTGCACCACCCGGTTGCCGCAGCTCACGGGGCACGTGCATTTGACGCTGCACTCCTTGATGAACGTCTTGGCCTCGTGGCCCTTGCAAGCAGGGATGCGCCTCGGATTCTTCTGCTCCGCCGCGCTGATATGCCACGGATTATAAGCCGGCTAGGTTCGAGAGGAACGCTCTCGCAAGAAAAGCTCGGACGTGTCGGGAGAGTAGAAGATCGTAGAGACTGCCCGAGCGTTTACATCGCAGTAAGACGAGTATGTGATCACGAAGTCGAAACTGTTCCCCCAAAAAGCTGGAGGAGTCTGCCGACTGCCGAGTTTGACTTGGAATTGCAAGTGGGTCCTCCTTCAAAGCTGCTACAAGGAGGCCATTAGTGCAGAGTAAACAGCTAAGTAATCGTTCTTTAAAAGCAGACCCAACTGATAGAGTCATTTCAGAGCTTTCCAAACTACCACATCACAATCTCTGGAGCTTACCATGCGTCGCTGAGTGGGACATTTTCCGGTGCAGAACACGAACTGGGGGTCCATCGGAAATTTGTCACATCGCCGGATGTATGCCGGAAGGTGCCGTCGGCATAGGCGGCACCCCTGCGGGACCTGTAAGTCGTCCGGCATCCGTGCTCCTGCCGGTGCTGCCGGCACACGGCCGGAGACAGGCCGGACGGCAGACCATGCGCCGCAGCTGCGGCCGGGCGGGAGCATTCTAGAGCCGCCGAGCGTCGGGCGGCAGAGACGCCGAGTTGCACGCGGCAGCATGTGTGCGCCGGATTGCACGCCGGGCGGCAAGGGTTGCGGCGCC